AAACAAACAACTGTTACCGCTGTGAGTTTTATTTTTGGGTCGTTCTACAGCTCAGGTCAGCCGATTAAAAAGGCCTGGAGTCCAGATGTTTCTCAGTTTAATAACCGTGATGAAACCTTTAAACGATTTTCACACAAGAATCACGTGTTTTACTTTGTGACTGGAAATAATTCCAAACAGCTTGCAGCCAGCTGAACACCAGTGCTCAGCAACCGATGGGCAATGATGATTTCCTCTCTATTGGCTCCACATTTCTGGGAGAAAAAAAAACCTGTTTATTTTGACACATTTTTTAAACACCTCATAAAAAGGTCTACGATCTACAGAACAAGGGAAGATTTTTGCGTTCTTAAAAAAACAAGACGTTATCATAAAACGATTTGATGCTGGTAACTGACTCATGCATCTCTGTAAAAAAAAATCTGAAATAAGAAAACATGCCAATTTGTTTCACTCGTGTTATCTAATTTTACGTTGGAAAAATAAAAAGCAGAATCTTTTAAATGAACTGCTTTAGAGACAACGACGTGTCCCCTTTTAGAGCCTTGTGCACGAGGAAATATGCAACACCTAAATTCATCCACTGTGTGCAGCAGGACAGGCAGTACGGGAAACACTTGGGACACAATCTCACCTCTTGCCTCTTTCTCTCCTGAGGTGTGATTGTTGACAGAATACCAGATTCCTGCACCTTTAAAAGACATAATCAGAAATCAGATATGAATCCCCACCCTGCAAGTCTGGATTTTTCAAATAAGTGTTTTTAATACGAGTCAAAATGTAAATTTTTAACAGTCTGACATCAAGAAAACAAACCTGTCTTGCATTTCTGCAAAGATATGAAACACTGATAAGCAGAAGAATGCAAAATTAAGTTAAGCTCTTATCAGAGTTCTTAGTCTCGGCTTGATTTACTCTGCAAATCTGAAGATTCACCTGAGGCAACTGGCTCCAAGTGAGGTGAGCTTGTTTGTAGCTCTTCATCACGATGCCGTGGTCCTCCGCTGGAGGCTCCACCACAACAAAGTCCTCCAGCAGCTCGTCTTTATGGGTGGAGTCCAGGCCGCGCTCTCTGATCTCCTGGTACAGGCATGGCGTCGCTGGGGAAGGAACGGCCATCAACAGAAAACCATAAAGTCTCAAGGAGAGACTCGCTTTCAAGGACTTCAGAAACACAGCCGCGAGCGTCAAAATGAGTTGTAGGATTGCTAATTACAACAATGAAGCTTAATTTTTCTACTTCCACCATGTCCAGTTTGAAAGCTCTTGAAAGATATGTCTACCTTAGATTGGAGCAGCTGACTCAATAAGTATATAAGACAATGAAAAACCTTTTAAAACTCCTAAAATCAGCAAAGAAGAATCCGAAGGGAAAGGTCACCATTCGGGACTAAACAAGTGTTTATCATGTCAGGAACGGTGTTCCAGTTCTGTTGCTCTCAGCTGCCACTAGCTCTTTTCAGAGACAGTGCAAGGGAGCCACTCAACCCAAATTCAGATTCCCATGAATGTTTTGTCTGTTCTAGGAAGTCTGCAATGAGCAATAAAGTTTGCAAAAAAAAAAAAAAAAACACACAAAAAAAAAATCTGTTATTTCCCAATCTATTTGTATTCCAGTAACCCGATTTAGAAAAAGCAGACAAGAGTGACACATGAGGGGACATACCATCTTTGAATGATCCACGCTGGTTCCTCTTTCTACCCAGAGATCGCTAGAGAGGACACAGCAGCACAGACTTTATTTCAGTCATGAATTATGGGTTTTAGTCACAGATCTGAATAGAGAACTATTCCAGCACAGACTTTGATGATCTGTGCTAGAATATGGTTTCCACGTGTTATGTAAACCTTCTATAATTAGATTTTAATTCATTTTAAAGTAGAATTTCAAAGGTTCACCATGAGTTTAAGGAACATGTCCTTGTCTAAAAACGTCTCGCTGTACTAATCTAGATCTGGAAAACACTGAAATTACAGACTTTTCCAGATCGTGCACAAACTCTTGGATCTCTGATCCAGTGACAAGTGAAAAATTCAACATCATCCCAAGCGCTATTGAGGACTTTGGTTGTGACTGAAGAGTAGAGCGAAACTAAATTGACAAATTGGACCGAATCACAATAAAATTTCACATTAGTTTTTAGTTCCTCTAAGTATCTATTTAAATATCAAAACTGCTGGAAGTTCGGCACCTCCAACTTCCATTTGCTAGGGTAAAAGTAAGCTGACAGACAGAGTAAATAAGTTTCTCTAGTGGGTTAAGTTTTAACAAGAACTTCTTAGTGGCAAAAAAAGGAAAAAAAGCATTTTCTTTTTCAATCACAACATTTTGGTTGACTGTTTCTACCTTGCGTCTATTGCTGAGAGAAGGTTCAGGACTGCTTTCTCGGTTTTCATTCACGGGTTTCAGGGTGGTTTTAGGCGCTGTCCCAGATGTCCCAGATGTCATGGCATCAATGTCCAGGCTGGTCACCGCCGCCCGATACGACTTGTTCCTGCGGTTCCTCCTGAAGGCCACCCCGTCTCCATCGCTGTCATAGTCATCCCAGGAAACATCTGGCCCCTGTGTTGAGTGATGGGTGCGGTTTTCGCTGTTTGCATTCTCTAGTCCCACTGGGAAGGTCACCACGGTGGTGTGGTGACGATTCTTGGGTCGGCTCGATACCGCTAAGCTCTTGGGAATCAACTGGTGGGTACCTAGCTTCTTTGCTGCCAGGCTCTCTGTGCTCAAAACCACCTTTTGGGTTTGAGGCTCCTGTGCTGCAGGAGTCTCTGTGCTCAGAACAACCTGCTCCGGTACCACCACGTTGTCCACCTCGCCTTCCTGTGGGGTGGCTGTGTCAGAGTGGAGTGTCAGGGGGCTTTTGGGTTGGTAGCCTTCATCTCCTGGCTCGTATATATGAAGTTCTGTGGAGAAGAGGGCCTCTATTGTAGGGGACTTGTTGTCCGTGCAGTTGTCTGACTCACTGTGGGACATGGTGTCCTCCTGCGGGTCTCCTCAGTTCTTCAGCACCTGCAGCATTAGGGGGAATCTAAATAAGAAAAGCAAAACAAAATTTAAGATATTACACCTGGATTGCCACTGGATTAATGTATCGACCAACAAATATTCTTCAACCTGAATTTCTCAGAGACTTTCTGACATCTTCAAATCTGACCAAGTTTTCAGTGGAAATAAGTTACAAAGTCATATGAGGGGATTTGACCAGTGACTCATGTCTCACTGCCACTCACATTAAAAACACACACACACACCCACACACACATACACACACACACATTCAAAACTTCTCCTTCCACTGTCTTAAAGTTACAAGAAAATAACTCACTGTTTCTAATAAATGTTTCCAACTTGCTGAGCCAGGAACTGATTCATGAACCTATTATTAAGTAGACAACCCACCTCTTAACATGTTGTGACAGCCATGCTTAACCATACAGCTGGAAATTAGTGTTCATGCCGCACCAACCCTTCAAGTAAATGAACTAGTAGCTTCCTGCGAAATTCCTGTCAACGTGCAGTACTTACTTTACAAATGCAACGACGCGGCGCAGACGGATTAGTTTGTGGCAAGGGGAGGGAAAAAATGTCCGCCTCACATTCCCATGGCTAATAGATGCGGATTGACACGCAGTTAAAAGCAAAGCGTCTTTACCTGTGAAGTGCACCTCAAACTCCAGCTGTAATTCGGGTGAGTGTCATGCGGCGGTACCGCTGGCGGAGCAGCGGTCAGATCGAGCAGATTACGCGGCTGTATTCCTCCGCCGCGCTGCTCCTTCGCTCCTCTGCCTTCTTCTGCTTACGTCACTCCAGGTGAGCGCCAATCAGTTACCGCTGAGCGACGCTTTTCTTAATAACAAGTCCGCCAGGAAGCAACTTTGACAAACTTAGATGAAGCTTCTTCTTCGACGAGCCGCCAGAAACTTGACGACAAAACAATGAGGATTACGCTTTAAAAAAATGAAATTTGACTTTCATTCCAGTGACTCTAATTTCTCATTTCAAAAATATAATGACGTTAATGTGTCTTAACTTTAACCTCTGAAATGTCAATACTGTTTTTTGTTTGTTGTTCTCATCTGACTAGTTGAAAAGACGGCTCTTTGTTACCCCCTGGTGTTCAGTAACAATTACTACACTCCATATTTTTTTGTTTTAGGATTTTATTCCATCACTGCAGAAACTCAATCTAACAATAATCTTAATAAACACGTCCACTCTTTGAATGCTACTGCGATATATGTTGGATTATTTATTTTTGCATGTAATTTCTTGATATTCTTTTTAAACCTGGTGTGGGGTTACTTTGTCACTGCATGTTTCTAATTCACACAAACTTTGCTTTGTGCCTTCTTTGGCAAAGGATTAGATGTTGTTTAGTTTTACGTTTAGAAGTTACACCTTCTTCCTTATCTGGCAGCTAAACTTTTCATTTAATTTTACATTAATTCTGTGGTGGCGCAAAGGCAAAGCACCAGGCCTTAGTCTGGTCACAGGTTCAATTCCCAGCCTTGTGACACTTGCTGTATGTCTTCCCCCTCTCTGTTTACCCTGTTTCCTGCTTAAACAGGGTAATCAGTACTTTCAAATAAAGGCCACTTGAGCCAAAAAAAAAAAAGATTTTGGCTGAATATTCAAAAACTGGTTTCTCGTATGGCACATGTCTGATTATTATTTATCACATAGTTAATTTTTCACAAATTACCTGAATCTTGTAGTGCAACTAGAATTTTTGGACAACAAACAGGTAGGATCAGATGTGCAAATTTATTGATACTTTAATCAAAAGTCTTGTATAAAAGTGTAGATGTGAGAAACAAAAATGCATTTGGATAATACTTCTTATGTCCTAAGAGGATGAATTATATTACTTTTCTTGCACTTTCATTTGTTAATTCTTTGCAAGAACAATGCATTTAACTAAATAATTTATATTTGCAGAATATATTTTAAAAACATTTCAACAAAAAGAGGAATAAATCATTGGAAACACACAGGCTATGCTTAAATGATCCGAGGTTTATTCTGTTCATTTTTTATCAGTCTGAAGTTATTATGACAAGAAAACAAGCCAATATTCTACATCCAAGCGAGGCTGGGACATGTGATATCATGAAATCTGGAAAAAATGAAATGACAAAAAAAATAATCTAAGGGTCACTATGTACAGAGTTCATATATTAATATATGTATAGAAAATTAAATGGCAATGATGTACATTATTTGAAATTTTAATATCATATGGCATCTGATGAGAAGTGAGTCAGAATATTTCCAAATGATCAATCAAACCCGACCAGATGAATTAAAGAGATTATTTGTAATGATGAGATTACAAAACGGGAAAAGAACTTCATTAAATGGAAAAGCAACGATGCATGCTCTATTCCAAAATATTTATTTTCTAATGACCTTCAAACCAGTGTCTCCCATTTTTTTTCCCAGTTTCTAACCCACAAAATTGACTATTGCTGTTTGACATACACAAACATAACTAATGACCCATTTAATGAGTGCAGCTACAAGACAGCCTTAACTATTACACTATTTTTTTTATCCATTTACAACTACAGATTTTATCTTTATTTTTTTATTATAGCTTTTAAAGTAAAAAAATGGAACAAATAATAATTTTTTTTAGTTCAACTTAAAGTTCTTTAGATAATCTAAAGACCTCACACTTGGTGTTTCAAGACCCATATTCGGGTCCTGACCCAGACTTTGGGAACCACGGCTCTCAACAGGTTAACACCGTTCGAATGTTTTATGGGTTGTAAAAAGTATTTTAAAATTTGGAAAGGGAGAAATGATGACACAGTTCTCAGCCTGGACAAAAGATCTCTGAATGCCTAAAAGTGAATCATACAGTACTTTTGCGACTGGTTAGTGTTAATTTTGAACATGCTAGAGCATGTCGACTCGCCCAACCAGCAGTGTAAGTTTATCACTGTGAGCCCGCCTGTGGAAGACAGAGTGGTCTCTGTGATGTGTAAGCGGATCCGTTCATCAAAGATTCATCCTGCAGCTCAGTGGGACGGAGGCAAGAAACAAACGGATGGGTTCGGATCAGACGGCTGCTGTGAGTCGCAGCTCTTTTGTCTTATTTTGTGGGGGAGCGGGTTCCACCTTAGATTACCGGCATCCTTGTGATTAAACATTAAAAACGTGTTTGATTCTTATAATGCAGCGATTCACAAAAAAGTCACAATCACGATTAAACGACGTAGTTTGACATCCCGGTCGCATTACAACATTATAATAATAAATTTGAGCTTTGCTTTATTTCTCTGATACAAGAGCTTCTAGCAGTTAATGGAAAATCATACTAGTTATTATTATTATTACAAATTATTTGGAAAATGACCTCATTGAATAAATATTAATAAACTGTTAGCTTTGAGGCGGAATATAAATGAAACAACCGGCGGTAGCTTCTGCCAAAACACTGGCAGAATATTAAAGGGATAATTCAGGTTTATTTGAGGCTCTATTAAGAGGTCATAAGAAATGAATATCTTGCCCGCAGAAATCACTGGGATCAATGTCTATTTATTTGCACTGAGTGGGTTTTTCTACAGAATCTGATGAATATTTACATGGGGAAACAGAGGTAGGAAGTGATCTGCTATCAAGGATTTTCCTGTCGGAAATAAAGTGAGAGCGGAACATGCAAAGCATTTCCTTAAAAAAATTCCTTGTGTGTCACCAGATGCTTTACATTTTCCATTGGATTTCCAGGAGGAAGATTATTGGGAACGCACTTCCGCCAACCTCAGTTTCCTGTGTAAATGGCCTGAAATTGTAAAGCGCTTCATCAGGTCCAGAGGACGCCAGGGTGCTTCACACTACATTCAGTCATTCATTTGTGTGTAAAGCTGGACTATCCTATAACAGCACAATCAGTGCATCTGTGAGCTTGACACTAAATGTTATGACTAAGACGAAATATCGATGGGACACTACTCATTCTTATTAATGCATTGGCTGCTTATTGATTACAAATTATATATCTGAACCACTTTTCTTTCGATTAGTCTGAAAAATAGACAATTTCATAGCAACAACAGCCTCATATGTCACCCGTTTCATCTACTAAAAAACTTAAATCTCCTACGTGACATCATCCAATAATTTGCAGTTTTGTAGAAATGTAAGTATACACCAGCAGTGATTTTGACTTAGTGTTCTTTAACAAGTGCCTTAGCAAAGTGAAAGAAAGTAAAGAGGGTCAGTGCATGTCAGAAATGCTTTGCTAAACAATCATTTGTGTCCATGAGACTTTTAGAAAGAGGTGTGGGGTCACTCTGCTGTGTTTCACCAGAGCCGAGACTCAGAGCTTGTGTGGACAGGCAGCAACCGCAGAAGCGGGCCTCAGGTACTGCGGGGCCCCGAAGAGTGACACAACAGAGTTTCAGGAGGGGGGGGGGAGACGAGCTCTCCTCACCTCTGTCTGTTCGGCGGCGGGTTAAAGAATGGAGGAGGGAGACACTTTGGACCGAGTGTGCGAGGACGCAGAACGCTGCAGGGAAAACGGTCCAGTTCATTTTTTGGCTATGTCCCCTTTCTTCAGAATGAGCTTCCGCTGCCAGGGGGCCAGCTTGGTCTCATCGTATCCCAAGGTCCGTAGTCGCTCCAGCTCCTGCTTCTCCTCGGACTCCTTTGCCTGTTTGGCCTGCTGTTCTGCTTTTCTACAAAGATCGCAAACAATAATTAGGATGGCATTGTAATTTTTTTCTTTTTTAACAAAGCAGCACAATATTTTACCTAATTGCTTGCACATACATATTTTTTTTATATGTTTTACACAGTGACTGAATAGTACAGCAGTGGGAAATAGTATTTGCCACTGCTGTACTATTATAATTTAGTACATCATTGTAATTTAAGTTCATTAGATCACAATGAATTTAATAATTCACTGTAATTTTTGGAGAAACCCAGTCAAAGTCCAGATTGAAATACTATTAAGATGCTGTGACATTAACTTGAACATGTTTAATGTGGCTGATTTAAAACAATTTGCCATAATGCGGTTGTATAACAGCTTATTAGTAAGTGTTGCTCCAAGAAAGAAACAACCAGCAATTTGGGTTGGTTGGATTTTTCTTCTTAATCACTTGAAAACTGCTTTTGGTATTTTCTCCGGTTAGTTTTGGCCAACATTAAAATTTGTTCAGCAATATGAGAGATTTAACAGTGGGAAAATCTGTTAAATAACAAGTTTTCTGTAATCTAATCCCTGGTCAGAAACAATTATTGACAGAGTTGAACTCAGAGCTCAGGCCACATTTGAGTTTGACTGATCCAGTCAGGTCTTGACACGATTAATTTTTTATTTTTTGGTGTCAATACAGCTCTGGTATATTATATAACAGATGAGTAGCGATAATGTTCTGGACTGAAACGGAGCAGGGACCCAGCCCAAAGCTGCAAATTAGAAAGTCTGGTTCCTAGGATGCAAATGACAAAGAAATCAGGGATGAGTCAAGTCTTTTGCAAAGCAGCAGGCCACGTTTCCTTCTAGTGGACCTTCTTCATGTCGAATAGTGCTGACTGAAAGAAATAACCAGATTGCCAAAAATGAACTCTTGAAGGCACTGAATTGGGTAGAATGAATACATGGATATATGTTAATGTCAATAACTTACAGGCTGACCTCGAATTGAATGATTCATTCTAAGTTCCTTCTAGCAGGCTGCTTAAAACCTCTGCTGAGTTTGCAAATGACAGAAACCTACAAGTCTGTGTTGTGCAAGTGTACTTCAGAGCAAGTTGCAAAGTTCACATAGGAAGGAGCCTTAAGGAAAAGTTTTGTTCGACTTTAAGATATCTAGCTAATAGTGCACTCCAAAAACATTTCCTGCAATAATCCTCTGTTATCCTATCCCTAATATAATGTTGAAGGAATAGTACATTTTACCTGTTTTCCAAAGATCAGTTGTGCTCAACCTGCTCTGCTTGAATATATCCAGATTGAATCTGGCGTCTTAAACACCAGATGAATTATTTCTTCTTGTGTTGTGAATCATACCATGAAGAAACAGCTGCATTTCTCTCAGCATTTGTAAATGTCTGTAACATTCATTAATTGTGATTTATATAAGGTTGTTATTTTTGACTCGACATTCAATGTGTCTGCCCAGATTTGCAAATAAGAAAGGGATTTCACTTGTTTTGCCCCTCAATCCATTTTAATGGTTTATTTTGAATGTTAAAATCATTAAGAGTGTGAAGTAAACATCTTACCTTTTTTGTTCCCTGTCACATCAGGAGGACAAAAACAAAAGAGAAAAGGCGTAAATATCTTGAAACAGTGAACAGGAATCAAACTAGCTACATTAATAATATCACACAGACACAGCTGCAGGATGAAGTCATTCTATTTCTGCCCAAAATTATAATTTGACTGCAGCACGAACTAGTTCTTCCTTGTAGGTATTACTACAAACATGAAGTTAGTCTTCAAATAAGGAGTTATAAGCAGATTTCCGTCTTTCCACCGTCTCTACTTCCTGCCTCCTCATTTGACTGAAATTTAGCAATGCAAAGAGAACAAGTGACTCCATTACTTCTTGTCTGACGTACTGTCAGGAGTGTTTTACTTGAATAGAGTCAGGGCACAGAGATATATGTAACATAAATAAATAACATCAAGGACCCTGTAATTTACATGCAGAGAAAAAAAAACAACATATATTTCTCACAACTTAAAAAGAAGCAAGGTCAGCACTGTCTGAAATGATTTGAAAAATAAATAGTTCACAAACAGAACTGATGTCCACTTTAAAATACTTAAGATATTTTTATTTACATGATAATTTTCCTTTTAAGGAGTTTGTTCATAACATTCTAATAAATGCTTAAGCTCTTATGGGGATTTTAGAGAGAGGAAACAAACTTCTGAAGAGAAATAAACTTGGTTCCTCATCATGTAAAACTAAAATTTGTAGAATCATGCTTTGTTGACTATTCCACATATAAATGCATTCATTCGTCTTTTTGCATGTTGAATATTATTTATCAGCTGTGTTTTGTTACTATTCGTGCTTTCTCACTTTTCTTCTTGCTAATGCAAATGCAAACTGGCTCAGGCTCAGATATGTGATTCAGATTTAAAAACATTTTGAGTGTGTCCTTCTTATTGACAGAAAAAGAAGGAAATTTAGCGACGCTAATTCCAGGAAAAAATCTTCACTCTGAACTTCATCTGCAGCTTTTCATCACTGAATAAATCGGAGAAAAGTCTTTGCAAACTGTGCAGTTTATTTCTCTGCAGTGCGATCTTTGTATCCAACCTGCGTTGCAACTGTCTTGGTCCCTTGAGATCACAGGGAGAACACACGGCTGAATAGTTAAAGCAAACGAATGGATGGCTGAACTCAGGAACAAAATGGCATTCCGCCGTTTGATGTCACAGCAACAAAGGTTGCAATTAACTTCAATGAGAAAACTGGTGAAGTGAAGCGGCTACATATTGGTCTTAGAGACATTTCCAGAACTTAAGAGTGTAAAACGCTGCAAAAAAACAAACAAAACAACTGCTTTATTACTCACCTCTCCTCGTCCATTTTCTTCTTCATCATGTCCCTTCTCCAGGCTGGCATGGAAGCCAGGCGCTTTGCTTCCTCTTCAGCCTGCAAGGACACAGAGAGGGTCCGAGATGGGGGCAAAAAGCAGGGACCCAAATCGGTCAGTTGTGGCGTTTAAACTCTGACTGTATACTTTATAACCACCCAACTATTTTTAAGGATCACCAGCCATGCTAAACAGACGGCCTGTAAAATCTCCAAATACGTGTGACATTCAATTGTTTGTCATGTTTTTGGCTGTAGCTAAAAATTAGGGGGGGAAGAAAGTAAGACATCTTGAACAGGAAAACAGCGAACTCCAGATTTGATGTAGCTGCAAAATTAACGGAATCAAATGTGATAATAAACGGGCAAATCTCTGAGAGTATCAATGGTGCTATACTCTCATAGATTTGCTGGTAAATCCCTGCTCCGTGCTGAAAGAGCAGGCATACACCTGCAGGGAGAAACTGTGATGAAACATGAATCCAACATCTATTCATATCTCCAAGTGCAATTTCCCAAACAAAGGGCCATTATAGAATTCAAATACTCAACAAAGGACCCGTCTTTAAACAGTTGGATAAATTTTCAGAAGCAAACACACCTCACAATGTCTGCTGCCTCTCGTTTTTTTGTTAGGAATACGATAAAGGCTATTAAATGTTTTGCAGAATGTTTGCATCGAAAAATAAACCTAACTGGATCCTTTTTGCTCTTTGCGTCTGTAGCAGAGGGTGGAACAGGAGGAGAGGGCAGCAGTGTTAGATTTCTCGTCCTCGCCTGAGATACGTTACCCCTTCCTTTCTCAATCCTTTTACTCCAGGATTTCACAGTAGCTATGGTGACTCCAGGTAACATTACCTGCGTCATAAATTTTTAATAATTCCCCAGGGAATTATTACAAAGAAAAAAAAAGAAGCTATTAGAGATCTTTGTATTTGTTGAATTTCTAATTTGATCAAAATAAAATGAATTGGTCAAAGGTGAATTGTGTTAAGACTGGACTAAAATGGCTGACTGGTCATTTAACGTTGGGTTGGCCGTGTAAAAGACTGAACACAGCAGCTTATTTGTTACACTGGTTTCAGTTCTGATGTTCATATAACTTCAATTTAAAATAAAATGCATATAAAGTTATAGACCACATGTACTAATAAGAGTGGGTTAACTTTCTAATGTTTAAGCAGTACTGCATGAACTATGGTAATGATAATGTTTGTCTTTTGGTGCACCAATGATCTTACGTTAACACAGAAAGATAAAAACATTTTCATATCTTCCTTCATCTATAAAATGTGTAGCAATTTTGTAAACTTTATTTTCAACCCGTGCTTGGATTTCTTTTTAAGTCTCCATAAAACCCCTTAACCTGGAACCATAGTACTACTTGCACAAGGGAAACTTCCAACATCGAACCAGAAAAAATATTGAGGCATTTGAAAACACCGCCTGAGTTTATGGGGTAGGAGTTGTTAAGTTTCTTACTTCTTCCTTTTCGAGCATGTGAAGATTATTGTGGCGTGCAAAAATGTGTCTTTTGCATTTCTTGTTCATGTGTGTGATTTTATACGTACTTATATCATGTTTGAAATTGTTGAGGGATTGGAAACCTTTTCACCTATTTTGTTAGTAGAATCAATGGAAAATCCCAAGGACAAAAAAAACATAGACAGAAGAACACTAAAATGTTAGTATAGCTGACAAAAAAAAATAAATAATCTATTTGCTGAAAATTTGGCCTGGACCAGGTGTGCAGGGTCTTTTCTTCTCCTCGTGCATTTACTAGCTAAATATGATGAAAGGATCACTCTTTAAAAAGTAAAAAATATATATTGTCTTTGAATCGGAACCTTAAAAACTCACACTCTCTCCTGGACTCCAAGCAACTAGCTGAGGGACAATTTGGAGGTGTGCGAACTTCACCAGGCTGGAAGCCCTCTTTCATGGGAAACCCAGTCCACTATGTACAAGGGGCCTCCGGTATGAGTTAGAGGTTTTGACTTGTTTGTTTTAGCTGCATAGAGAGATCAGGGAACTCTCATGATCCCACAAATATATAAGGGAACCTCCTTATGACACTACAGAGAAAACCTACAGTCTGCCTGCTTATTGTTAAGATACAGGGCCAGGTTGGTGCAAAGGGGGGATTTAAAAAACCCCAACTAATTATTAGGACCACTTTAAAAGATTATTAAGTAGTTCCTAGGTAGAAATATAAAAAGTAGTTGTAGCTTTTTTTTTTTTTTTACTTTTATGTAGATTATATATACAGTGGCTCCCTAAAAGTGATGGGGCTTAAGCACCACAGCTGCCTGTGGAATAACTAAAATCCATAAACACCCCATGACGACCCTTTTCAAATATTTTGCGAACTATTTTTATATAGTTCACAAAATATACCTCAATATGCAACAAAACACACAAAGGAAACTATCCTATCGCTAATGCAGACGCGAAGACAGTCTTCATTATTTCCACTCTTGGGGGTGCAGCCACCAGGAGCAAGAACTAGCATATCCAGTGGGACTGATTCCATGTATTTCCCAAGCTGCATTATCTTTTGAATAGTTTAGATATGTGCTAAAAAAAAAAAAATATATATATATATATATATATATATATATATATATATATATATATATATATATATATATATATATAATCTGTGTGCTTATCTTAACAATAAGCAGGCAGACTATAAGTTCATATATATATATATATATATATATATATATATATATATATATATATCTGTGAGCAGGCAGATTTTCTGCAAATGATTTGGAGTTGCATTCCACAGAAAAGTCAGTGAATCGTGAACTGTAACTGGGCAGGGATCCACTTTAATCGTCTTTTCTACTCTTTTATAATTGACCTACAACTTTGATCTATAATCAATATTCCGTAGCACGTCATCATTCAAGCTAGTATGGATTACTATCAGTGCAGACATTGTAGTAATCCTTAAAATCTAGCAATCAGTACATAAACTGATGAATGTGAATGTGACTCCTTATAGTAAATGGCATTTAGCCGACCGCCTGAATGACTTCCTTTTGAGCTGTGAGGTGATGAAGATTCACAGTAACCGCCTTATGGCTTTTGTAAGCCATGGATAGCATGACAGCAGGTGGCACTAAGAGGGTTACATGAAGGTAATCTTGATGCCACAGAAAAGACACTATGAGAATATCGAAGCCACTGGCAGATCACTGGAGACCTTCACACGGAGGAACTGAGTGTCTAAATGGGTTCTGTCACTGGACTCACACTCACAGAAGTTTGCCCCTGCTAGTCAGTGCTTAGGGAAAACAATTTAGAACTTGTACAAATACAAACATTTTCTATAAACTTTATTTTTGACAGTCACGTAGAAATCAGGTAAAAACACAATTCAGTTCCAGAATGTGGAAAAAAAGTCTGTGAAACGCACCTTAATATCAGACAAAACAAAGCAAAGTCCATAAATACTGAGATTTGTACAAACTTCAATTTTGAATGTTCTGAGAGTTAGAGCTCTAAAATATCAAATTCTTACATCAGCTCACAGAAATCTGTTGTCAAATTTTCCCGACTGCAAAGTGGTCTTAAACCTGGACAGTAATATCTGAGCATCAAAGTAACTCATTGAGCAATTTCTATCAAGAATAAAATTGTTTGTTTTGTTTTTATATATATTTCAAAACAAATTCTGAACTGCATGTTTGTATTTTCCGACAGAGCTTCAGGAAAAGCTAAAAAAAAAAGAGAAAAGTTTTTACCACACAGATTTTATTGCAGCTACGCTATTTTGTCGCTCCAGCTCATTGTCTCACATCTGATTTGTAAATTTCTGCAGGTGGATTTTATTCAGAATTTATTGCAGCCTTCGGTTTGTTGTCGGTTGTTGTTGTCCTGAAAGTTGGAACTCAGACCTGGAAACGATGCCGCGTCAGATCTCATCACATTCTGGTTATAAGTCAAACAAACAGATGCAAACTACTGGTTGCAATATACACTGATAAACATGTATTTATCTCCAAACAGTAAAGAAACATGTTAACAAATGGGGTTTTTAGAGAACTCCTGATGCCATTGGTGAAATGATCAAAAAAAAAAAAACTGTCAGATGTGCTAAATAATAATTAAATACCTTCAACTTGACCTTCACTATGTTTTTTAAATGTATGCTTGATGTTGAACCTGAGACTGATTGGAGAGCTGCAACTTTGCTTGTCATAATTCAGGGGGGTTTTCCTCGAAGTCAGAAAATACAACTTCCCATTTCAAACACAATAAACTGTTATTTTAAACTAAGCTTGTGACTAGAAATAAAAATGTGTATCAAAATTTGACAATTCTGTCAAAGTGATGAGCTGTTTGGCTGTTCTGTATTGTGGACTTTTTTTTTAGTAAAACAAGTGAGCTAATATACTGTATACTTACTGTGTTCAATGAGTGTTATTCCTAATATTGCAGAAATTACAATTGTTTTCATTAGTTATTAGTCAAGTTGCAGACTAATGACTGACATGATTAGCTGAGTGTTGAGAAGAATTATTTTGAAAAATAGAGCATGGCAGAGCTTCTCCTCTCATATATGTGATCACTGGATTATTACTGAACCTCGTCTCAATCGTGATTGGACAGTGCATCTCAGCAGTCAGCCAATCAGACTCTGGTGTCTCGGTGTTACTATCAGGAATGAAGTTTCATATTATTATTATGTATTATTATATAGATTAAAAGAGGGGCCGTTGATGGCTCAAAGATTTGTGTCTTGCGACTGATGGAAGTACTACAATAGGACAAACTATTCACAACAGAGAATGAACAAATCAGATTTTTAAATGGCAAATGACTTCTTTAAAGGTTATTTTGAGACCATGGCTTCATTTAAAACTCTTTATTTCAATGTTCTCACTTGAACTCAGTTCAGAATAAATGGTCAGCTCTGTCTCTCCATCCAAGCATATACAAATGGGAATGTCAGCACAACCAAATGAAGGCTATTTGCTGTAGTTTAATCCTCTAGGTGACATGGCCTAAATGCTAACTCTCCCGATTAGTTTCCCTTTTCGGTAGGTTGAACTGTGCAGATTAGCCTCTCAGATCCAGCACCATCTCTGGTGGTGGACACTGCAGTTAGATGTCAAAAAGCTCTGCTTCCTTCTCCTTCCAAAAGGCAAAGCTTCGGTCGATGTATCTGATGATCTCCTCATTGCTGAACTCTTTGAGCTCATAAATAACTTTAATCGCATCCTCAGAAGTTTCATCTCTGGCTGAAGCTTGATCAGTGCGTGGTTCTTCTGAGAATCTAACTTTCACGGGTGGAAGCTCTTTCTTTGATTCTGATCCTGCAGTGTCCATGGAGTTCTGTTTTCCACATTCAGATTTTGGGTCCTTCTCCAATACAATCCCAGTCTCATTTGAAGACATCAGCTCATTGGTTGCCACAGTCTCTGGAGCATTGGGCTCCACTGAAGATCGGTTGTCAGACACGCCGTTCTCGGCAGCAGTAGGTGACACTGATGGAGGAACATCTAATGGGGGTTGTCCCCCATTAGAGGCTGGCGGAGATGGTTGTGTTGTCACTGCAGATGTTGCAGACTGTGGATTTGGAGGTGGGGGTGGAGGACAGGTAGGTGGAGGCGGGGGAGGATTTAAAGGTGGGGGTGGGAGGGATTCATGCAGTGCAGACATTTCAGGAGATACGGCATTTAGAGATGCTGTCATCACACCTCCCCCATCAGCCACGTCTCCGAAATGCTTGAGTTTTATGTCCTCAAAGCCATCCGCCCAGTCTCGTTTCCCACTCTCGATTTCCACCATCACTTCCTTGTGAAACTGTCTTATAACTTCCCACTTGTGGCTGCCAAGGCGGTCGAACATCTCGTAGCACAAGAGGTGGCGGAACTTCCGCTCCCTGCGAGACATGTTCATTTCTAGTAACTGGAAGTATCCAAGCATGAAGAGGTCAAGGGTTAAGCTCTCATAGCTCACAGGGGAGCCGTTAAAGTGTGGCAAGAAGTGTTCCGGCCAGTAGATCATCTGGGCCCGACTTAGCCTCCGGATCTGCCGTGATGGGACTTGGCTCATAATTGATCTCCAGTGGCCAATCAGATTTCCAACCACTTGCTTTGACTTCATAAACATAATCATTTTATCATCTTCACTGTGCATTTCATCACCCATTTGAGCATTGAACTGGCTGTAGTCCTCTAAGCCGACATCCAAGTAGTTTCCCCTCCTGCCTGTGTACTTAGTCCGATACGATTCTGAGACGGTGTACTTCCTCCAGTGTTCAAGGAACAAAAGGACGATCCTCTCTTTCCTCATTTCGATGCACTCCTGGACGTAGCTTAGATCAGTCTGCACCTCCAAGCTTCGTTTTAGGTGATTGTCAGTTAAAACAGGGTCTGAAGAAAGAACCTGGTTGAACTCTTTGATATTCGTTGGAGCCATTGCCTCAGAGGAGACATACAATGGAGAAACATAAGCTTCAGTAACAACTGGTTCTTCAACAAGTGGCAAGGCAGATTCTTCTACAGGTGGCAAAGGTCCATTGCTTCTATAGTCAGGAACTATATTTGTAGAGGAAGGAACACTGCTATTGGTGGTTGGCTCTAGACTATAACTTGACTCACTGACCACTGGAAGTGACATCTTGCGTTTGTAAACCCTATCAGCTGGGTCATTTGTAGACGGTGTCTGAGTTTGAAGCTCATAATTGGCCTTCAGGTTCTTCACAGAAACTCCACACTGCTTTATCTCCCTTTCCACATCTTCTCTTGTTGAGAAGGACTGGGATCGCCCAATATTTCCATTGCCAACAGATGTTTGACACTGGCCTGCAGTAATACACTTTGCTCCTTCTTGAGCATTTCCGGAAAGAATAAAATCTAGGAGGTCGATCTCCTTGCCTCCAAGGGTGGCAAGGAGGATCGCCATGCTCTTGAGCAGGGTGGAGATTTTGCTGCACCAGGCTGGGAGATCTTCAGCTTGCCCATGCACTTGTTTTGGATTGACTGAGAAATGCTCCTGATTAAGAGCAGCAGAGACTGGTAGCAGCTGGTGAAGCTCTCGCTCCAGTTCCTCCAGTTCCTTCTCGACTTCTGACATCTTATGCATGACCTGCAGGTTCTCAATTTGTTTCTCAATTCGATTTAGGTCAGCTTCGGTCATCAACTCCCCAAACGGCCCTAAAATGGCATTGTGGATGTGGGAGTAGTGCCATTCCTGAGGCTGGTAGTGTCCACTTGACGCAAACTAAATCAGAGGTCGAAGGAGACCGACAGGACAAGAGGGGGAAAAAAAAGAAGGAAGGAGGGTTTCCTTCAGCAGGATGTTCCTTGTTTCAAACACGCTTCAGAGCAAATCCAGTCCAACACACAGGATTTACATGGATTTAGTGGTGCAATGGCACAGCCTCATTACTGGCATTAAACTCTGTGCTGTAATTTAGAATCACAGCAAACAGAGAAAACCATTGTTCTTTTTGAACGAACCAGCAAAATTAAATGCTGAACCAACCATATTTGCAGAAACTCAAAATCAGCTTTGAAGTTCCCACGTCTCTATTGCTGTCCCTCGGGACATCGTCCACCTATACAAACTATTATTCTAACACCGTTGAATCCTATCTGTGTACAACAGACACATCAGTCCTCCCAGCAATGGAGAAGACCGTATTAGGTGTGTGAACAATGCAATAAAGTTAAAACTGCTTGTATTGGTCATTACCTAAGGAAAAAGATCACTCTACAGCAATGTATTATCGGCAACCTTGGTAAAAATATTTAGAAAGTCTTAAAATCAAACAAAATGAAAGCAAAAACAAAAGACAACATTGCTCAACTTTGAGACTATTGCTAAGCCTTTTTTTGTACATAATCATTTTATCATCGTCAAAATGCTCTTTTGGGGACTTTGATGGCACTGGTTGAGCTGTAGTGTGAATGGGGCCCATCATCACACCACTGAATCTGCATGTAAGGACTTGCAGCCACAGAAACACCAAAACACCAGTTCACACTGTGTATAGTTTGGTCAAGTGTCTTGATGCTGTGATGGTTGATGTAGCCAAGTTTTAATCCACTTCACTTCAAAATACCTCAGCAACATCTATGAGTAACATAAAAGTCATGCGAAAGTAAAAAAAAAAAAAACAAACAAACAAAAACAATCAGTTTGATAACTGGTAAGTGCATGTGCTAAGGCTCTAACCTGTATTTTATTTGTTGATTATGAGAAGACACATTTGATTTATTTAATTAAACCCTATAGAATAAAATTTTGGTCTATACCAACACAAAAACTCTCCAGCATGCATCACAGAATGACATTTAAGAGAAGTTTCTTCCTGTTGGATTATGCAAGGGGCAAAAGTGGCAACCTGTGCTTGCAATTAATGATTAATAAGCTAGAAATAATTAATTTGTATATAACCAGAGTCTTTGTTATGTTATCTGAGCCCAACAAGTGTCCAGATTGTGTCTGGATGACTTTCTAATCAGTACCATGTCTAATAATACTTAAAGGTAACACAAGTAAAAGCTATTGAAGACAAAAAGATATATGCTGAATGTTATCAGTTGATGTGTGAAAAGATAATTTAAACAGGAATCTGCATTAAGAAGTTTCAAAGAGAAGGTTCTCAATTTCCAGCCCTGGCAGTTCAACATTCTGCTGCTTTTAGGAGCGTCTCTGGTCCAACTCACATGAATGAGATGACTATCTGTCCTCAGCATGAAATCAGCTCTAATCCAGTCCTGCTAATGACCAATTAGTTGATTCAGGGCTTCTGAACAACAAACATATCCACAAGTTTCAGGACAGTGGCCCCAAAGGGCTAGAGGTTGAACCTTCTGCTCTAAGATAAAACCTTTTCTTTGATGTTAAGAAAGTATTTTTTATCTTGATTGAGTTACACTCTTCATGCACAACATGAAAAATTATCATAAAACATCAAACACTCAAAGTACAAGCCATCCCCTTTGCATCGTAGTTATATAAATGCCAAGCCAATTTTATTTATTTATTTATTCATTTTGCATATTTCAAACTTTAAGAGATCACAAAAGGGATAGCAGAAAGACGTCAAAACTCCTGTCATCTGGGCACAGCATTCCGGCACAACACCTACCTTGCGTTTGTGCTCTTCCTCCTCCTGCATCTTGGCCTGGAGCTTCCTCACCATCACCTGCCTTTTCCACTCAGGGATGGCTTTCCCCTGCTCATCATGAGTGGGCACCAGCGCCTCAATGTCGGCGAGGCTCGTCTTCCTTCCCGACTCCGGCTGCGCGGCACCAGCTCCGCCGTCCCCGTTGACGACGGAGTTGGAGGACAGCTGCTCATAGCTCGCAGAGCCTGACATGTTCCTGGAACCAGTGGGACTGGGACTGGGGCTGGGGCTCGGGGTGACGGGCGGGGAGGTAACAGGCGGGCTGGACTGTGGAGGGGAGGGTGGCTTGGCGGGTGGGGTAGATGTTTGGGTCTCTGGAGGTGTAGTGGTTCCCTTAAAGGAGATGAAGACACTTAGGACGCATCGCAGTCATCCAACGCAATTTTAATATCTGTGACTGAACTGCTGGAGTCTGTGGCTTTGTATCATTCACCGTTTTGTAAATGAATTCAAAAGTGCCAAAAAGCTTTGCACCTACATTGTTGCCTGTCGTCCCTGTGTTGGAGAACACAGTGGTGTAGCCTTTACTGTGAGGCGTGGGCTTGAGACTCTTTCCAGCTTTGATCTCTGCCAGCAGCTCTGAGTTGTCTCCGGTGGGGGACATCATGTTGAAAGATTTGGTGCCTGCGGACAAAATGAGAGCGCGGACGAGTGAAACCAGGTAGAAAGACGGATGAGAGAGCGACAGATCCACTGAAGAGAAAAGAGACACTGGGCGGCATTTCAGTGTTTAAATATTTTATCCAATCAGCCAAATAACAGTGTTGAACCGGAGCATGTTGAACAATGATGGCAGGTCAGTCGGGTCATCATGGATATGCTGGACATGCATATTTGTTTACTGAGGTTTGCATTTATGCTGTATTTGGGTCTGCTTGAGACATGTCTGATTAGATCACTGCTGGACCAAACTTGGATTAAAAGGTAACCATAACACAAAACCTGGTTACAAACTTACTTTATTCCTTCATCTAAAGGGATCCAATCAGGACAGAGCTACAAAATACACAATGTTCCTTTTTCAGTGCAATGCATACAGCTTGCTAAGGTCTGGGTGAAGAGTTTTAGAGAAATTCTCCAAAGAAGGATATCAAAGCTACCAAATAATTATTTTATTCCTGTTTTGAACTGCAGTGTTTTTCATTTATTATGCTTTTTTAGTTTGAAGACAGAAATTAATCTCCCTCTTATCACCACGTTGGGTATTTCTACACTGAAGAAGGCATTTAGATTCGGTTCACAAAGTAGAAAAAAACAAAACCAATAAATTGTTTTGGACAAGCTACAGCACTGGTTTAATTAGAAACACATTATCCTAATTAACAATAGCCTAGAATAAGACTAGAATGGGATGATTTTCCACTAGACTGGCAACATCGGTGACATGTCGTTTGGAAACATCAGAATCTTATGCGTTTCAGTCCGTAAATGCGCCACACCAGGCCATGCTGACAGCATTGCTCTTTAGTGTGGAAGTTGAGAAAAAGGCTCGTTATCTATTTACAGTGTCAGGGTGTTGAAAAGAGATACCAGAGGAAGAACAAAAGCTGCAAGAAGATGTCTAAAAGGGAAATGTTTTCTGCAGAGGCATGTCAGCTGTTAACGACAACACAGAAATAAAACAGGCTTTGTTTTGAAATCTTTTCGGGTAGGAAAAAAAAAACTGTCTCCCACATAAAATTGGCAAAGCAGTGAAGTTATGTGGGGACAACTTCACTAGATAAAGCTGATTTCAGAAATTAAAAATTAAATTAATAAACATTTAGTTATAATTATGCTTCTTTTCAACACAATAGATTTGGAAATGTTAGCTAGCTTTTGGAAATATAAGCTGAAGTAATGAATTTACATTCTCAAGGGAATAAACACAACTGTTACAATATGTTGCTGAAGACAGTTTAAAATGTGAACTTTGAACTATTTTGCATGTTTTAAATAAGCAAAGTCCTGCTTTACAGGGACACGTCTGTCACATGAGAGGCCTGTGAGAGCGCCCTCACCACATAATGAATGATAAGAACATTTTATTTCCAGCAGGCAGGCTGGAATAAACATTTTGTAAAGTCATAGTTCCCGGCTAATCATAGTTCTTAACGAGAAATTTCAATCAACTAAAATAAGTATTGATAAGATAAAGCTCAAATAAGGCCAGATTAAAAAAAATACAATAATCAGTCCATCTCTAGCTTTAATCAGAAAAAAAAATGTTAGAAATGATAAGAAAACGCATGTGTAGTTCATCTTTCACTGACACTAATCCGTTTGTGGTGAGAGAGATATATTCACAGTGAAAATAAAAAAACCAAAAACTTTTACAAAACAGATTTTCTATTGCTTTATTCTTATACATGTTTCTAATTTAATAATTATATCAAATCAATTATAATACTTTTATCTACCAATATCAAGTTTAGCACACCATAATTCCTTTAAGCCTCAAAACTGCTTTGAATTTAGAATGAATGGGATCTTATCAGGGTCCAAAGAGCCCGACACAGCCTCACCTGTTTTACAGAACGTTAGTCTTGAATGTAGCAAATGTCCTCAATTCCTCATTGTTTACACAGCTTCTATTTGCAGAACGGATGAAAACAAAAGTCCCTTGGTAAAAGTGTTCCCTGTCGAGGCGACCACAATGGTTTAGACGGACACAAAGACTGGCTAGCGTGCCACCCCTCCTCACGCTCGCCCGCGCTCCCTTTCTCCCATGTAGGAGGAGAGAACAGCTTTCTATTAAAGACCCATCATCACAGTTGGGGGAAATCTAAAGGAATCACCAGTAACTGGAAGTGACAGCAAGCCACTGGAAAGCTAGCCAGGAATTAACACACAAACACACGCACGCAGAGAGGCCGTCGAATCGTCGGCTCGTCAGTCCGCCCGCTGCCAAACCAATCCTCTCAAAGCTCGCACACAGTACGCTTGGCATTTTGTTATGTCTCATGGGATATGCACTATAGAATAAAAGAACCAGCTGATTTGAGTTGAAACTGTGGTTGATTGGTAGATTAACACAAAGTACTGCATAAATCAGAAGGAAAAGTATGGTTCCCAAAAATCTGTAAAGTGCTACATGCATTACTTTTCGGCTACTTTCCTTCAATAACTCTAAATAAAACTATTCGAATGTTCATTATGCAATTTGTGGATTAAAACCAGCACTGCAAAAGTGTATTCAAAGAAGACCATGGAATAAAGTGCTAACAGGAACCGTGAGAGGCTAAACCACCACCACACCAGTTTTCATGATGTGGTAGTGGCAGTATTATGCAGAGAGAAAGCCTTCCTTCCTCTGATCAGAGACAGCATGAGCGTTGATGGGCTGAATTAAGGGCAAAACTGGTGTAAAATCCTTTAAAGGTGGTAATAGACCAGTAATGTTCCCCCTCCAACAAGATACCAACCATAAACCTGCAGCCTGAGCTTCAGTGGAGTGGTTTGGATGAAAATGTTTGGGTGAGTTAGAAAGGCTCAAGTAAAGTTCAGACCTGAATCCAATTCAGTAAACACAGCTAGACTTAAGACTTTCAAAGCTACCAGAGACATGGCCTGGAAATTGCTATTTCAAATAATTTGTCTTGTGAGGGCTGATAACAAATCTACACCAGCGGTTTTAGATTTGTATTTGAAATCATTAAAATAATAATAATTAAAAACATATTTTTTATTTGGCCACTTCATGCTGGTCTGTCATATAAAATTCAATACAAGTTTAATAAAACTTGTGGTTGTATTTTTGACAAATTGCAAAAATGTTCAAAGACGAGGAAATTGTTTGACAAAATACCATTTTAATATAAATAGAAATCAAAACAAGGAATGATGGCAAAAACCTCATACCTTATGCCTTTCCTGACAGGTCCTTATTATAAAGATCCAGGACCGTTAATAGTCCAGAGGAAGATGAGTTTTAACGGACTTGAAAAAAAATTAAAAAATCACACTGAAGTTACACCGGCGTGTCTGTTTAACTTTATGAGAAAGCAGCTGTGTCTCTGCGGACATTTAAATCCTGTTTAAAAACAGGGTGGGGATTCAGCAGGTCAGAGTGATATGTGGACCAGGCTGGAGGAGTGACAGGTGCACAATGTAAGAGAAACAGCTTCACCTAATGAACGTCTCGCTATGCAGGGCAGCCTGCTCTCAGTTCAGACTCACACTTTACACCTGCATGATACATGGGAACTTTTAGGTGACAAACTTTTTTGTGGCCATTTCCTGGACTAAGCAGATGAGCAAACGAATGCCTTACTTGAATGGAATGACTCAATGTAGCCCAGTCAAACTGGAAGTCATGGTTTATCAATTTAAGGGCCCCAGACATTCTGCTTAAATGAATCTGATATTACTGTACTATGATTGAACATTGCAATGACAATGTCAATTGCAAATTGTCCTCACCATGTTTCTCTTTTCCAATTATCACAATATCTCCACCAGTCTGCCTGGATTTTAGCGTCTCAAATGACTGATGAGGAGGTGGCAGAAAGGACAGAGAAAGTCAGACATGCACCAATCATCAGAGCCCATAATCTTCAGTACTATTTATAACGCATCAAAACCAGAGTTCAATGAAAATATTAAATGGAGATAATCTTATAAGACCTGCATTTTTATTGGATTCATGTTCTTTGTGCTAAAGAACATGCAGAATATATTTTTACATTTTATGAAAAATGTTCTGTTAAGGTCCAAAGAAAAAATAGGAAATTAGCAGGTCAGACCTGAACGAAAACCCAAAACTGTTATTGATCAGCAAAAGTTGGATCGGTTAAGGCATGGCGGATAAATCGTAACACGACACCAAATATCGCAGTGGCTTGCGTTTACATTATGGAACATATTCACACGGTGATGAAGACCGCCATTCAACATATGCATCTAGTCTGTGAAAGAGCCTCCGCAGCATATCAATTCAAGGCTTTTCATTTTTATGGCCTCCATGTGACATTTTGTTGTCTGATCAGAGGCTAGAAACAAATCCTATATTTCCTCAGACCACACTGCTCCTGAGATAAAGACGCAGGGTGTAAAAACTGTCCCCCTCTTACAGGCGGCAAAGAACTACAGAACAAAAGAGCTTGACAAACTATGCAGCCTATCCGGCCAGACACCTGCCTCTCTGTGTCGCCTCAACAAGAAAAGCAGTGAAGTCATTTTGAGCTTATTGTTGTTCTGGAATGGTTCCATTAACAGGGACACAGCCCTCTTTATCTCTGAGCAGTTTATGAGTATTTAATTTATTTGATAACAGAAGGAGCAGAAGGAGATCAGACAGAAGGAAGTTACAAAGTGTAAGTACTACAAATCTGATGTTAAATCCCGTAATTAACACTTTACTGCAGCTGGTATTCAGTTTTCCTTTTTCTTTAAAGCTAAGAATATATCCTTGCTTAAGAAGACGTGCTCACTCACAAGCTGGACTCATTCAAAATCATCCTTCTTTTAAGGATTTCCATTTTACGTCCTCTTTTCCTTTTGGTTTTACAACGAGACCGCATTTCTTAGTTTCGTTATTCTCCCATCACGACGTCCAGCATCATTATGGGAGAAATATTTGTGTCTCAAGTTTTTGTTAACTGTGCAGACAGATGAGTTAAATAAAATAGGTAAAGATTAAAGTGTGCAAAATAGCCCCATTAATTACTGAGAAACTTATAGATGGACTAATAAAATAAGTAGTTTAAGCTTTGGATGACTTATATGATCATTATATAACCTATATTATTTACAGCATTTCCAGTGGTCTGATATAAAAAAATAAATAAAAGATCTGAATTGAGGTACTTTATTATTATTAGACATTAAAATTACAATTCTGTAAGTTGAAATTGACAAAATGTAAAGTTTTTTTGCTGGTATGCTTTACTTAACGAGCAGAACGAATGCAATCAAAAAACTTTTTGTTCCCAGAAAAAATGTCTGGATTTTTTTTTTCACAGCTATGAGGAAACTAAAGTGGATTTAAGGGACTACGAAGATCCTGACATTTAGCAGGTTAAAGTCTCAGTTTGTACTTACTCTTCATCTGTCTAAGCAGCCCTCTGTCTGGGTGGGAGACAGAGATATTCCTGCCTTGAGAGCATCGAGGAAAAACCGCGTCAGGCGGAGAGAGAGAGGAAGAAAAGTCAGAAACATGCAGAGGAAACAGTGAAAGTGGAAAGATGTAATGAAAGAGAAATAGACAGAAGTAAAAGCACGTAGTCAAATTCAATCGTAGCCCGATTTATCTTATTTTATAAGGTAATAGCTTTAACTTGTTACTCTTCCTCTTACGGCGGCTTCATGGATGATTTACATCTCTTCGTCCAGCCATTCCTTTCGAGCATCGTGTCACATCTGGATTTTAACCTGATATTTCTTCAACAGCTACTGAAGACTGTTCACAAGCAATAATGCACAAGCAATAAGCTTGGTAACTTCTAATTCCTAACGTTTCCTGCAAGCAGAGCGGCGTGGGGTTAGTGAGACAGAGTGATATCGGGCAGAGGGCCACTTAAGGAAATAACTGAACTCTAAACCAGACCTCAGGGTAACGGGACGCCCGCATCGTTAATTTACAATCTGTTATTTAGAAGGCCGGGTTTGAACGCCGCTCATATACACCTGAGGTGATGAGTTGGTGGCCGACACTGGCAAGCACACACCCTCTCGACTTTCTAGGAATAACACAGTAAAAGTATGGAAGCAGAAAAGTGGGGAGACGTCAGGAAGAACAAAAAGAGGAACTCACTTCCTGATGAGGAAGATGGGCGCCTGTTGTCGTTGGAGGCGGGGGTGGAGCTGGGGGCGGTGCTGCCGTTGTTCTGGGTGGTTTGTGCCCCGGTGGGCAGCGGAGGGGGAGGAGGGGGCGTTGGCATCGGATTGCTGGGGGGGAGAGGAGGCGGTGGAGGCGGTGGTGGAGGCGGCTGTGGAGGCGACGCAGATTCCTCTGTGGTGCCATTTTCAGAGGTGGGGGCGGGACTCTCTGTAGGCTCCTCCAATAATACCGAACCCTGAAGGAAAGAGGAGGAAAACGCAGATGATGTCATCCTTGAAGTCATCACTTTCCCAGCATTTATTGCTGGTCAACGATCGGGTGAAGAGGACAGAAGCTTTTGTTATCATCTTGGAGCGTTTTATTGAAATTCCCACTCAGCTTTTCACATTTCTCCTAGAAATTTTATTTGTAAAGAACTGATACTGTTAGATTGTTTATTGGAGTGGGAAATATGGATTTACAGTACATGACATTTTGTGGCACCATTGGGATGACAATATAAGTGACGATAAGAACTATTTATGATTTCTTTTGCAGGTAACAGTGGCCGCATGGCGCAGCAGATATAGCCTCAAAAACAAACCCTGCTCTTGAAAAACATTCACATTTGTAATGCACTTCTTTAGGACTCCATAAAGAAGTGTGATTTGTGTCACCAAACTGCGCAGAGTAGCAGCATTTAATCATATTTTCAAATGTATTGATGCATCGAACAAACAGTGGAGAAAATAGTAAAACTAACCAGTGTATTATGCCTTGCTTGTAAAAAACTGTCAACATATTTTGAATGTGCATGGTGAAAGTCCTGTACTTCTGCTATGAGGTGTAAAACTGTTAACTTCTTGCAAAGGCTGCTGCCGGGGACAGATGTACAGATTGTTCTTGTTTCCTAACCAGTATAAAGACACAATACCCTCACAAAGGAGCTAATATGACCTAATCCCACAGGGGGGAATTCTGCGTGGAAAACGGAGCGAATGGACCATCTGCCGCTGCAACTGATAGCCCTGCACGCGTCGGCACGCTCCAAAACCATGCTGGAACTCAGCTGGAGGCGAATTAATGGACTATGACATCTAACTGGACCTCCCACCGCCCCCCCGGCACTCCTCAGACGCGTGCTCGTCATTGTTGCTCCCTTCACTTTCTCGGCCTCCCCGGGGAGTTGAGGCGGAGGAGGAGAGGGGCCGAGGGGGGATCCAGATGGGTCATGGCGGCACGTGCCGGTTCCCTTGATTAGCCCTCCCATCTGCTGGAGTCCTTGGAGACAGGGAGGGGCCCCTCTGGGGCTCTAATTGGCTCAATGTGGATTATAGCATGTGTCCCCTCCAAACACCCACCACTCCTGACACTCGTGGGAGTTTCTGGTCTCTCCAGGGACTTTAATCATTGACTCCAGCTGACTTCACTTCATTCATTCATCCTCTTGTGCTCGTGAAGTTATGCGAAAGCAAACAGGTGGTTTAAGCAGACATTTACTAAAATGCCATGCAGTATTTATTGATGAACCCAAATTAAGACTTATAACTGCACATGTCCATACGTGTAGCTTTAACCAGAACCTGCCATTTTGAATTAATTGTTTTTGTTTTTTGGGATTTCTTGCTGTGAAACACAAAGAAAAGCCTGAAACAGAAGCTTGACAAAGAAGCATGTTTTTTAAATTGCTCCCTACGTGTAATTTATGTGGAACAAAATTAATTATATTTATTTATTACTACACACTTTTGTTTTTAAGTATTGGGAATATTTTACTGTAAAGAATTTTTAATAAATTATTTATTCTATTATTTAATCTATTTTTATGTCCTTCTATAAAAAACTATATTTGTTTTTATGTACTGAAATAAATTATTAGTCATAGAAAAAAGTTTAAATTAGATTTTTTGCTGTTCACAGGAAGCTTCATGTTAGGTCCCATCGTTCCTGTGCCGGTCATTCGTTTAGCAAATGGCGGCTGTTTTTTCAAGGAGGGTGGAGTCAAGAGGTGGTGGAAATGAGAAAAATAAAAGGTCAAGACAGTCAAAGATTATGCAACACACTGAGTGGTAACGCTCAGGCAAATATTGCCCGTCAGTGTTGTAACTTTATGCCGATGCACAATTTGCGCAGCAAAACCGCACCCAAAACTCTGACCCCACGCAGCAACAGCCTGACCACGCCACCCTGGTCACCGATGGAACACATGCTAAATAAATGTTTTCATTTTCAGTGAACAGAAATGACGTGAACTTCCTGCTACATCAGCATCCGCATGAGTGAAGCTTTGAGAAATCTTGTTTTGAGGCCCTTTCAACGCATTTGGATGTTTCCAACTTGCCTCCTCGTTGGGCGCCATGCCTTTGCTCCCACGGGGCTCCGCCGTGTCGTTGCCCAGACTCTTGTAGTAGTCCCCAGTGCTGGGCTGTTTGTTGAAGCTCCTCGACTTCCTGTTTGAATCCACTCGCCGCAGTTTCTCGTGGCTCTCCCCAGGAGTCAGCTGCTTCACAGATTTAAAAAAGAGAAACATGCATGTCAGTTTAAAACTCCCCATGTATGTTTTTTTTTTTCCCCCAGATGTTTTTCATACTGTGTGAAAAATGAGTCCATGTTTGTGAATGTGTGGGTGGCAGGAGGAAAGCTGGACACCGACAGAGTACAATGTATTTACTCTCTTTTATTGCTGGATTAGCTTTCTCGTGGGAACCAAAGCTGCTTTATTTGAATGGCAGAACAAGGCTCTAATTTAGCCCATGTAAAGCCCTGGCATCCACTGTATGTTTCAACATCCACAGCCTGTTGGGCCACAACCAGATTTCATAATGAAGTGAAGGAGAGAGCAGATCACTGACTTAGCCACGTTCGCTTTAGGAATGTCACTTTCTGCTTTAATATTGTGTAGAAAGCTGGATTTCTAACAACACGACAATCAAATACTCTCAATCACGGTTTTCACTGTGCAAAACGTACCTGACAGGCTTTCCATATTTAAAAGCTTCAGTGGAAAAAATGTTCCATTTTCCCATGCCAGTGTAAAAAAATCTTTCTATTTTTTTTGTTGGTTTCCGAATATGTTTCCTTCATGCAAAAAGCCTTAAAATTTGCATAATGTTCTTGCCTGAAAACATAGCTATGCAACAAAACTTCCTGATTCCCATAATTTATATGCCTGTGTTTCTCAAAAACGTTTTTTGCAAAAAAAAAAAAAAGGATACAAAGAAATTCAAAAGAAACAATAATCTATTTCGAACACCAACATAAAAAACATGCAGATTTTAAAGCAAAAAAGCTGCTTTGCCTTTCAAATCCAAGACTCGGGAACAGATTTGTATTTATTTACATTCAAAACACTGTCACACAGCTTGGACTTTTCTTTTCTTTTTCACTTGACCCAAACCAGCACCTCAAGTGTCGGGACGTCTGACATTGATGTGAGCAGAAATAATTGACAGCTGACCCCTGACCTCCTCTCTTCCTGTGCGCTCCTGTGCTCCCGAGTTCCTACAAGCTTCTTTAATTGTGTTGACTCCTGTCTGCTGTCAAAGAGACGGTCCCTGAGCACTCATCAGCAGGCGGGGTAATGCGAGCCCAGAGAGATGCAGATGGATCGTCGTCCCCCAGGGAGACGGGTCGACAATGGCAAACATACAAAGTGTTTTGCCCCAACACCCCCCCCCCCCCCCCACAATCTCTCATTTACGCCGACTCCTTTCCCTTTCATCGCACATATCTGTCTGTCAGCGGGAAGTGATATATGGCTTTTGTTCATGTGTCTCCTTATGTTTTTACATTTTATTAGTGTACAGAACAATATCGAGTTTGTTCAGGCTGTTTTGTCAGACATGCACATTTACATGTCGCCAACACAGGGAGGCAATTTGAGTCGTAAACTAAGATCTCTTCCGATGTAAATGCATAATTTTACACGAGGTTTTTTTCTAAGCAGAACTAAACAAGTCTGATTTATTGCTCAAATGTAAAACAGCTGAAATATGCAAATTGGAAGGAGATAGGCTTTGCAGTAAGAGGAACAAAAAAAAAAGAATAAAAAATGTCCTCAGAAAAGCAAACACACTTTACCTTACTATTAGGAGTCCACTGTTTCAGCGGCTTTCCAGTCTGGACCGAGCCACATCCGCACAACCCAGTAGAGCCGACAGAGAGCAGCTGTCACCAGATACAGCGCCTCACCTTCTCTCCGCTCAGAGCCTACGACTGTCACTCTACCTGGACCTCTCACTTTACCCACATGCCTCATCAATAAGCTATTGGGCCAGCTCAGCACCAGCTATGATGTCACCACCATCCCGTTGACTGACCACACCCCGACCCTGCCCAGTTCTGTTTATGCAAAGCACAAACTCCCATGTGTTCCTCTGGCCGTCGCCACACGCAAATCCTGAGAGGCTTTGGGATTATCAGAATATTCCGGCCTTCAGTGCAGGTACAAAACCTTTCGGGAATGGCACTTGTAGCAGGGATAGTGGCAAAATAAAAAAAATTCTGACGGATTGCATTCCAAAGAATTAAAACTCAGACAGGGGCAGCAGGCATGGTAGTGAGGGCGGTTTGTATGCTGCACAATAAACCTTTGCTTTGAGTCAAATGAGTCGAGCACAGAGCCTCCAACAAAAACCACCCCTAGGCTCACTGTAGCGTTAGCATGCAGGTGGATTGGTTTTCACTGTTTGGTACACAGAGATCCAATTTGTGTGTCTTTTTGTGCACATGTGTGTGCCTGTGTTCTGAGAGCCAGACCTTATCTAAATTATTAAGACGGGCCGCGCCCTGAGCTGGTCACCTGGGCACGGAGGGGAGAGGGGGCAACACTAGAGTTTCATTAAACGTCTCCCCCGCAGGGTCACACAGAAACACACACACACAGAGAGCTCACTATGGATACGTTCTATGGGAAAATCTCACTGACTCTACATTTATAACTGCATGGTGACCTATTTGCATTGCAGATGCTTACACCCTGCCAATACCTAAGCACATTTTTTCTCCCCTCAAACCAGCTGGCTGTGCAACTTTTTAGCTTCCTGCTGTATGGATAAAAATATTCATCAGACATCATTAACCGAAGATCATTGTATCGTTTCTAACAATTTTATCCAAGTACAAATGAGAAAGAAAATAAATTAAATATAGAACAAAAATGTTGGAAATTCTCCAATTGACTCTTTTTCTACATTTTATGTGACACACCAACACCAAACAGCATGCATGTGTCAAGTAGAAGGTAAAAGATGATTGTTCTCAAATATTTGTTTGCCAATAGGAATCTGTAAATTGGAAATATATATTCACCGTTCTTTATTCTGGCACCATGTCTAAAGCAAACTGAACACATGTCCTTCATGACTGTAGATTGGCATCCCTGGTTAAGAGGAAAGCACATTTCTCTGGTAGACAAATATAGTAGGAGTTGGACAGTGAAGCGATATTTGAAGATTAATGGTTACAGACACTCTCCATCCAATTGGACTGAATTGAGATATTATGAAAGGAATGATGGGCAGATTTGTTCAGTGAGTTCAAAGCTGCCAGAGGTATTTCCTTAAAAGTACAGCCTAGGGGTGGTTTCAACAACAACAAAAATACAAACGCTCTCCAGATTTCTGTTTGTGAAATGATTTGAAAATAATGTATCATTTTCTGGTTTCTGCTCTGCCACACCAAATTTCAAATTTGAAATAAGACATGTTGAACTTTTTGGATGTAACACACAGATAAGTGAAAAATCATAAGACACTTAATCTCACAACCACAACGCCACACATGGCAACAATCAGAAGAATGCATTTCCCATGACAGGACTCAGATCAATCATTGCTGCAGGGCTTAATAAACTCATTTACATCTCTGTCAGAAACATGACTCCACAATGTCTGGATAAGCAAACCAGCAGAAGAGACATTTATATTATTGCCTCTCAATACTGCTGCTCCTCTTCAGACCTTTGAGTCACCTGTGGCCAGATTAATTAGTGTGATTAAAATCAAGCCCATCACATCGGGCTTCATAATGTGTCAGATCAGAGGCCCGGCTCGCTAACAAGCATCTTCTGTGGCCTCGTTAGCCAGGCTGACACAATAACATCGTTGTTGGCGCACCAGAGAAGACACACCGTTACAGAAGAGCTACAGTCCATTTCACCAAACCCACTGGGGGGAAGCGGCTAATTGCCAATTAATGACAAACACACAGCTCTTCCTGTTTCTTCCTGTTTAAAACATATGCTGGTGACTAAAAAATATATATATATATAATTTCTTGGACATGTCTGTGTTTGATGTCCAGAAACTTTACAGACAAACTGGAAGCAGACTCTTGCCAGCACCGTTCGTACCTCTTTTTTGCTGCTTTTGCTGTCCACGTGCCGCAAGTTGCTTTTCACCTTCAGGAACTCGGCCGACTGGGGCTCTTGCGGGGGCGGAGGCGCCGGGTAGCCCGGAGCTGGCGGGAGACCTGGCGGAGCTTGAGGGGGAGGCGGAGGAGGATAAGTTGGAGGAGGCGGAGGGTTGGGTGCACCGTCGGCTCTGATCTCGTTCCTGTTGGCCGTGTCAGCGCCGATGTCTGGGTTCAGCATGTCCATGTAGGCCTGCATGTCTGAAATGGCCGACTCTGATGCACCTGTAAGAAGATGGCGATCTCACAACAATTCAAGCAAAAATTACACACTGGTAAGTGTGACTGAGAAACATGACTTGAATTACTACATAGAACTAAGTTTATGTAGACACACCACTAGGGTGCAGCACCTGTACATAAAGCACCTGACATGTCCCCAAGAGAAACAACTGTGTCAAGTGAAACCAGAAACCAAACAGAAACACTGTAAAATATTAAATGAATGGATGAACAAATAGATAACAGTTTAAATCCTGTCATCACAGACCTTGATGTGCAACTGTGTTCAGCTGGGTGGGAGGTCCTCGAGACATTGTAAGGCTGCTTCTCTTCTCTCCGGTGCTGGACTGGCTGGAGTTGGCAGAGTCGTAGTTGGACAGTGAGCTGGACGGCGAGCCGATGTCGAAGTGCGCTGCCTGGCTGGCTGGAGGCATGGTGGTGTTCGGGGAGGAGAGGCCCGAGTCCGGCTGCTTGGACTCCAGCTCCATCGAAGGGTCTCGAGACAGAACCCGATGCTCCACACTCTGTCGCAGGATTATGAAAGAAAGCGTCACTGTCCGGCTGTTTCAGATTTTGCCCAAGTCAAACTTTAACTGGTTTAATTGAGATGGATCAACACAACATAGAGCGTTTAACCAGACTTTGGAAGATAGTACAAGAAATGAATTACTATTCCAATTCTGCTCCTCCAAACAAAAAGCATTTCCACAGCATTATTCTGCCACCACCAAGTTTCACAGTGTTTAGGATGATTTGAAGAATTTTGAGTGTAGTAAATTTTAGTCTGGTCTCATTTGTAATTCAATTGCGCATCAATAAATCCAAGGCAAGTGGCTACACTTTGTTTTATTTAGGGGTACCCTCTATCATTCCCTGCGTTGGGTTGGCCTGCATCATATCAAATTAATACTGAAATTTGTGTTCGAAACATATAATTTTTTTAAAAATAAACAAATAAATGTAGCTGTGAAAAAAATCTACAAAACCGAAACACACGACTCATTTAATTAGAAGTTAATTGTATGCCACTTTGTTCTATTTTACAACACAGAACAATTCTCATCATTATGCATCATCCATATGTTCAGACATCATTTCATAAACCCTCCTGCCTCTCAGTCCCTGGTGAATTAAATGAGGAGAAAAGCATTACGAGTTTAATTACTGCACAGTAGTGAAACTTCTCACAGCTGACCAGAACAGCTTTGGGGCTTTTGTCTTCTCCCAAAGTGCTCGACTCATGTGGCTTCATGTCCCTCGTGACAGAACAGAGAACACGAGACTAAGGAGACATGTCTCCCCAGCACCAGCACTGTTATAATTACTCTGCATGCTCTGGGACTTCAATTTGCTAGCGACGTAAGATGCTGCAGGTCAAAGAGTAAGTTAGAAATTAGCTGAAAAACCTGGAATAAAGTCAGTTCAGCTAAAGCTACTACTTATAGTCAGTCTGTGAAACAGATTTGTGTTACATTCACAAATAGCAAAGCACAGTACAGTCACAGAAAGCCTGTAATTAAAGAAAATGCAATGAAAGTTGCTGGGCTGACTCAGTTAAATCTCTGTTTTGTTTGAATTGCCCTCACATGTACCTCACAGCAGACACTGCCTTATGTAACAGCAGCCATTTTGAGGGCCCTGTAAATGAACTTGCGCTGCCTCATTTATTGTGTAATAGTCCCTTATTAAAGACCCAGTTTTAGTGAGTACTTACAAAGAATGAAGGTTAGTGTAGTGCTGTGGAAACTGTGAGAAACAAAGCACGCTCTTCACTTTTTGTTGTTTTTCGCCCGATTAACGTTGCCCAACTTCGGTCAGTCTAGAGACTGGTACAGTAAAAATGAAGGCATCAATTTTCAGCAGACTGTTTACAGAAAAACCTGCGTGCTCTAGCAAGAATATACGCCACGGTCCTTTAAACTTCTAATCTACACGTGCTCAGAAGTACACATGCAGGTCTAAAAAGATACATACTAAACCTCTGCAAGATATTTTCTAATTTAGAAAATACAAGGCCTGTTAAAATCTGGTCAGTGACTATGACTTATAGCACCTATTAGTTTCTCTTTGTCTGTAGAAAAAAAGGTTTGTTTAAAAAATTCCAACGGGCATAGCGAATGTCGAAGAAGAAATGAGAACATTCACAAGTTAGGAAACTTGTGAGCTTTCTAGTTGGAACCATTTCTGTCCTAATGGACATTTTAAAGAACAGTCATTAGAGAAAAGAGAATTGGTTAAGATGTTCAGGAGCATCCAGGATGCACTGAGGTCCAAGCCTGTCGTGCTGAAGCAAGTTTTACTTTGCCACAGACGGAGAGGGTATCGACAAAGAAAGACAGCCCTCCTCCGAAATCGACACCTTAAACCTCGCCAGAGATTTGCAGCTGCCTACGTCTGGAGAAACGTTTTTCTTTCAGACAAACATATATTGAATTGTTCGGCCATAGGGGCAAGAAATATTCTGGAGGAATCAAGATGAAGCTTCATCGTGCCACCTTTGTTGTAGCATCATGCTGAGGAGGGCTGTTTTGCCCAAAAGTGAATGGAGAAAGAAAAATTTTGATTTTCTCCAATTTCCTCTCAAATCAGCAGCGAACCTTGGACACAATCTGGTGTTCCAACTACACCTCTAGTCTGGCTGTGGATGCATAAACTGAGTTAATATCAAGATGCTGGAAATGCAATAACGCTTTGTGGATAAGAGAAAATTTACACCATCTTTGACATGCACTTTTTGTTTTCAAAAATAATTTTATGTTGCATAACTATTTATGTGGGAAAAAAAATAAATCAAATAAATAGGCGAAAAACGTGGCAATAATAATAGACGTAAATTTCGTACCAAAACAGTTTACATGACTTTTGTGCCTATAATTTGTTAGATTGAAAATCGTCCAGCTCCTTGAAGCAGAAACAGTTTTGCATGAGCTTGTTGTTTCGATGTAGTTAAGACGTGTTGTCGTGTACTTATGCTTGCTATCATTGCTGAGCGTGGCGGCAGGTTTGTTTCACAAAGTGTATTTTATTATTTAAAAACAAAATGTGTTTAGGCTTGAAAACCAGAGGAATTTCATTACAAACCTCTTCCGTGACAGAGAGATCACCCCACAGCTTGGCTCGGTTCGCCAGTGGGTCAGAGGTCAGGGACTCGTGGCAGTGGGACTTGGTAGCCACAGATCTTACCATGTTTTCCACCGTGCGCAGATACTTGGCACACTGGGAGTGGCCGTTGTATTCAGCCAGGTCCGCAGCCGTGAAGCCGTCCTGGTCGCGAATGCCCAGCTCCACTCCGTTTACCACAAGTATCTGACAGCACTGCGGAGCGGAAAGAGGACCGGGTCAGTGAGAGGACGAACCAAACTTCAGTCGGTCTGGATTACTGATGACAAACTCGTCAATGTAATTACCTCTCAGGTAATTGGTTTTGCACAAACAGTGGGAACAGTTTAAAGTACTGAATATTTATCTAGAAGATTTGAATGTGGACCACAGTGCTGAGAGACGCTGCAGTCTGTCAGAACTGTGCTGTGAAAAAAAACAAAAAACAAAACATTTTTACAGTTTCTCAAACTGAGACAACTGTATTAGAAATTTCGATTTAAACCTGTTGCTTAAATGAACAATATATTAAAATAATTTATTTTATTTGTGAATACATCTAGGAAATCTATAAAAATAAATCACACTCTGAAGAAAGACGCATTACAAAAAAATATTTCTAATTGGCTCACAATGGCTGAATCTGATAATTCTGACATCCAAAATTAATAATTTAAATTTAATGTAACTATATTTGATAAGCTAAAATGTCTTTTAATCCTAACATTGCTGTCCTATTTATGGATTATGACACGGCTGTTGAACCTTTTCCACATTTTGTCATGTTGCAGCCATAAACTTTAATGCATTTTACTGGAGTCTTATGTGATTAAACCAAAGCAAAGCAGATCATAAGTGTCAACTGGGGGAAAATGATACACTATTTGAACAAAATTTCAAATCAATACTATATTGCCATTTGCACCCTGTGTTTTGTACTATGAAGTACTTACTTTTCATTTAGCTTAACCAATTTAGATGATTTTTTTCCTTCAAAATCGCTGAATTTTCTAAATTTCTCATTCAAACGCTGGGAAGCGCAGCTCAGCCTCACCTGGGATTGATCAACCCAGGTGATCAATCCCACTGGCTGCCATTCCACATTCTTGTTGTGGACCTTGAAAGACTTGAAAGTCACTTCTGTATCCTTTTCAATTTCCCTCAATGTAGGAAAGTGAAAGTTTGTACCATGTGTACACAATGTGCACATGGTACTTTTAGTCACGACCGCTGCACATGCACAGAACTACCTCAGATTTACACACATAATATAGTTTGGTTCTCTGGTATAACAGCTCATGTTCTCTAATTGTACTTGATGTGGAGCTGGTTAATAAATCACCTTGAAGAGAACTACTTTACATCCTTCACAATAGTGAACATTCACTAAGCAGAAAGAGTCTTTGTGCTGGTCTATATCACAAAAAGCAAGTGATATCCGTGGAAGTTTATGGCAAAAATATTTACAGGACAGGAATACTTTCAAAAGAGCAAAATTTGAATGCAGAGTTTTCTTTGAGGTTGACCATAAAAACATGTAGTCAAAACAGCAGGTCACTGGGGGGATGGAGGGAGAACCGTACGCCAGACGCCGTTTATTCAAAACAGACGGACTGTAAAACCCAGGACGGATAAGAGCACAGAGAATGAAAACATCCTCTGCTTAAATACTCAGATTATTCTTTTCTTTTCTTATTTACATAATGAGGAAAAAAAAACATTAACTTTTCAAGAGGGAACTTCTGATCGCCCCACCTCTAGTTCCCCATTCTCCGCTGCGTCGTGAAGAGGGGTCCCTCCCCAGTTGTCGGTGACTATCTCTCCTCCGTGCAGCAGCAGCCAGCTGAGCACCTTTGCATGGCCACGGCTGGCGGCGAAGTGCATGGCCGTGGCCCCGTCGCCATCCCTGTCCGCCAGGCTGATGTCTGTGAAACTCATCTGCAGGGTGAGAAGACGAGAACAGACTTCACCGGTGTTCATCGGTTTCACTACTCTTAGTGTAAATGAGAAGATGTTGTTAACAAAAAGAAAGAGACAAATAATCCTGGGTGCTTAATAAATTTGAAAGGATCTTATGTGCATGTCAACACACCAGCCAGACGATGACGGTGCTGTGGCCCATCTGAGCAGCGGCATGCAGAGGCGTCATCCCGTCGTTGGCTCTGATGCCCGGATCTGCCCCACAGTCCTTGGCCAGGTATTGGACGACCTCCAGGTGACCCTCCTGGCAGGCCAGGTAGAGCGGCGTGGCACCATTCTTAGTTTGGGAGTTGACGACACTGTGAGTAAATAAAACCCAGAAGCAATGAAAAGTCATGGACAGCAAACCTGATAACTGCTGCAACCTTTGACCTGAAATTAATGTTCTAACAACAAGTCATTGAAAGCAGGAAAACTTTAATACTTCATAGTTATTTTTAAACAACATTGTGCTCAACCAAATGTGATCAACCAAAACAAAGCAGCACATTACAGTGAAATCTATCGAGAGGAAGCAAAGTGTTTCAACATTTTTCACAAAGAAATGTGGCGTGCATTTTTATTTAGCTCCCTTGATTTGATATTATGTTTGATGTCAAATCAATTGTTGAGTAGTAATACTGATCTATCTGCACTCAATAAGACAATAATCTTGAATCATATTTCATTTCATCAAGCAACACTTGGGGGGGATATTTGAAACGTGTTTTCTCGTTGTTCCAGTGATTCTGTCTATTCCAGAGACAAGCCCTTGCTGGAAAATGGCTTTTCAACATGCAATCCCTATTTGTAGCTTCAGCTTTCGACGCGTACGCACGGTCTGACTGCAGGTGCAAAACACCTTGGTCTGTTGCTAAAAATAGACAAGCAGACAAGCCTGACTGAATCTCATTCCCTGTTTTCTTTTTTCTCCCAAAGGTCCTTAACCCGGCTCTCAAAGCAAAACTATCCAGCCCTGGTGTCCCTTCTTGTCCCAGATATTCTCTGTCGCAGCGGGATGTCATGGAGGAAACCAGTGCTTCCCAACTAAATCCCATAAGGTCGTACTTTATTTGGACTCTGACAAATGAGCAATGAGTCACTAAAGAGGATTATCACTAGCTTTGCTTGACTCGCAATGTGCCTAACTAAGAGTTGCAAGTGGAGCTGAGCCACTACATAAGAAAGCTAAAGGGCTACGTCTCACCTTTGCACAGGCTGCAGTTAAATCCTGCCAAACGGGTAGTTTTAATATCAGCTAGTCTTACTCCGAGCTACAAAAGATCAATATGTACTGTCTGTTAGAAGAAAACAAACGTTGAGGGCCTCTTTGAATGATCAAGTGAAACGTTCCACGAAGGAACAATTAGATGATGAATATTTCAACACAAGAAAAGGAAGTTGTCTGTGTTTCTGTCATCAGGAAGTGAGCATGTTAATGAATCTTTCATTGATGTAACTAAAGTGGGTTTCGCTCACGTGTTTTTCTTAGAAGGAGAAAAGCATATTTCTTTAATTAATCCCATTCACCAAACTTCACTGGGCTAAAGGTCACATACTAAAGCAACCTCAAAGTGGAGAGGCTTAGGGAGTGAAAAGGTGCTTCTGGAGAAGGAGTGTAGATTTCATAGGGTTAGGAACGAGGTTGGACTATTCTCCGACACAAGGAGAACCACCTCAGCAGGGACTGTACAGAAAACTTGTCACACTGGAGTCAGAGACATGTGATATATTTCCACTTCAGCTCCAGTGAGCATTTTGCCCTGATAATAGTCTGACCACTGTACCTTTCCTTTCTGCACTAACAAAGACCAAGGTTGTCTTCATTACAGTAATGTAATTGATGTCCTACAAATGGCCCTCCTGGCTAATGAAGGCTTTTAACAAGCTCAGTGTTTACCCCCTATTGAATAATGAAGAGTTTTGATGGGGAAATGGATGTCCTTTTTGCAACATGTGCAACTCACGTGTGTCTATTTTAAAAAGTGTTTTGAAAGTTTATTAAAGTTTCTAAAGGCCTAGGTTTTCTAAAGCAGGAACATTCTCCAAGTCGGGTGACAATAAATAGAGATTTGCGCAATTAAAGTAAAGTTTTGTTGCACAAGCACCATGCATGGTACCAACATCCAGGACGACTGATGAGCCAGTGATGAAGACAATTCACTAAAACATTCAGCATTCAGTCTGATTTGTTATATATGTACATTAATATAAGGAATATAAGTAATTTATTAAATGCCACGTTTTAAGTAAAGTAAACCATTTTCTAATGAAGTCCAGATGATATACTGTTGGTGACATTACAGCAATTCCTCAACCTGAACAAGCAGGAATTTTTTTTTTTTTCCGCAACAGATATTTTTTAGATTAGTTTCAAAAACATCAAATGATGCAGAATGATGCCATATATCAATAAAATATATATCTAGTGTACATATTATTTAATTTGTGGCAATTATGATTAAAAATAATGTTTTTTATTACATTAATGTGGATGTTGTTATATTTTATCTAAACATAGTCTCTATATATCTGTAATGCCATGTTACGTTGCAACTTTTTGTTTTAAACATGTTATGAAGGATGTTCGAAAGTGGCTTTTATCCAACTTGCATCAGGAAACAGAAAAAAGTAAAAACACAGAGAGGGAAGGACACAACGTTTTGACAATGGGACAGAGACTAAACTCTGGAAATATATATATTTTTCCCCACACTTATTTTATTCTTTCATATTTTTCCAGACCTAGAAAAAAGTGAAACACAATTAAAAATGTTTCCAGATTCTCTATGAACTCTATTTCCACTTCTTTTTATGTAAGAGATTAAAATTCTCTACTTCCACATCGAGGATGTTACATTTGTTCATCTTAAAGTCAACTGTATGAAGAACTAGAATTAACGACGTTTTATTTTGAGAAAAATCAAGAGAAAAGGAGCCATCAGACAATATGTTTTCTTAGTGCCTACTTCTGATGGAGCTTTAGACTTTCTGGATTATCTCAACACAGAGCGATGTCCTTTTAAACTTCATGCTGAAACCGTCTACAGGCCAAAGATCTTAATCTGCACTAATTGATTACATAAGATGTCTGCAGCTTCCCACTTACTCGCGCTCTCTCTCAGGCTTCCACCATCATTCATTCATCCACGTTTTGTAATGAGGCTGTCTTGTCAGGCGCAGCACATTGAGCTTTTTGTTTTGGCTCATTGGGAGAGATTGGCAGATTTAGACACAGTTCACAAAACGACCTAGCAACACAAATGCAATGACCCGTCCTGCAACACGACAATCCGAAAAGATATGACAAGAAAAGGACTGCATTTATTTCACACTAAGAGTTTTGTTCGGAAAGGGTGTTTATGGATGTGGGATCAAACTTTGGTCTACACTGCAAGTTAATATTTGTGCAACATTTAATTGAATTTTTAATTGAATTTTTGGGGACATACTGATGTCCCCAAATTCATGTAGAGGGACAAAATTCTAATCTCCAATTTTATTTTTTTAAACTCATATTCTTCCTTGTTTCTCGGGCTCTTTCCTGTGTAGTTGCTGTAGCTAAGAGCCATTTGCATCGTGGCAAAAAGCAGAGCCAGGGAAACAATTGTATCCACTAGAGATCTCCAAAGTGAAAACCAGAGCTGACCACAAAGACCCATTATTCCACACTTCCCAATAAAGCATCTGGATTATTCCCAAGACTTTAGGGAAAACATTATGTTGAGAGACAAAGGTGGAACAAGACTTTTGCTGTACCACCACATCGTTTCAGAATCAGAATATTATAATGGCAGCCAAACGTAGAGGTAGTTGTTGTTAGGATACTTTGTTGTGTTTGGTGAACAGCAGCGGCTGAATTAAAGTACCTTTGCTAAAAAGAGTTGACCACAATTCTACCATGGCAATATAAAAAAACTCATTTCCAGTTAACACCAATGCTTTGAAACATGAAAATGTGGCAAACAAGCCAGCAGCGGAGAAATCAGTGGGGAGCAAATACTTTCTCAGGACCGTATGCAACTATAGCAATTACAGTACTCCAAACATTTTCTAGAAATTTCTTGTCGGAACTGCAGAATGACGTCTTTGTTGGCATTTTTATTGTCATTAAGATATCCTGTTATGATTAAAAGTGAGGAACAGGTCAAAATTACAATGCTGGAAACAGAAAACGCCATAAAGGTGTTGTTGTTTACCTCATGTGTATGTACTTTTATGCCCTGCAGTCACACTCTCGTTATGTTACACTATAATTAGGCTGCTTGTTACAAATGCAGTGATGCAACCAGGACAGTCCACGTAATCTTTGTGATCTTCCACATAGAAATAAAGCAGCAATAACAGTTAAAACTCAGGGACGAATATTTGCACATCATATTGAAGTCTGAACCTTAAACTTCATCTCCACTGTGCATTCGGGGCTGGAGATTAGAAAGCAGCTCCTCCATACGAATGGATTTGTTTCCCTCATTATCTTATCGCCATTTGGTGCTTCTGTGTGTCGCTGTGGAGACGATGGTAAACACCAGCAGTGGGAGGGGCGGCGCGCAGGACTGAATGGAGCCAAGCTATCAGGGAGCTGCAATGTCTCTGAGGAGCATTAAATTTTCAGCAGGTATGTAACCGACTGGGGTGCATCCACACAATATTGGAGGTACAAAACGCGACACAACCTGCCTTTTCCCTCTGAGGGCATCAGTGTGTTATATATATCTAGTTATATTGAAATAGATATATGGAATAGGAAACAAAATAATTGTGATTATTCTGCTAAAGCTGTAAAAAAAAAAAAGCAAAGGAGAATAAAAGGCCAGGTAAAATCCTTGAGTAAATTGTGTACATCAAATATTCTGGATTTCAATAAATATTTGAAAATGAACATGTTGCATGTTCCATTTAAACATAGTTTAAGCTTCAATGAACCATTCCCAATCAATGAACCATTGATTATTCCCAATCAATGAACCATTGATTGGGAATAGTTCATTGATTGGGAATGCACCAATCAACTGGCAAGCTTTCCTTTGATTGTTTCTTGTTCCCATTAATAAGCCTGTTGGATAATAACTGGCTGGATGGACATATGACAAACTCACAAACTGAATTAAAACACCCCAGTCTGTGTTTCTCCCTTAAGGAGAAAACCGCAGTTGGTCAAATTTGGTGTCAGCATGCGAGGCCTTCAAGAAAACAGGAAATTGGTATTTGCCAGAAAAACCCTGATCAGTGCAGCTCATGTTTCAAACGCTAGATCTTGTCAGATGCTGAACAAAGCGAAAGACACCGAAGCAGCTCTTGCGGCCAAGTAAAACGTCACCGTTCGGCACCGTTTGTGCCCCAATAAACCAGCCAATAGACAAACCTATACAACAAACATTTTGTGTCAGGCTCTTTAGGTGAAACAGAATATATACAATAGTGAACTCTACTTTTAAGATAAGGCTTAAAACTTTCCTTTTTGGTAAACTGAGATATCACTGCCTTCAATTAATAGTTTTTCATCTCCTGCTATTAACTTTTTACCTTCATGAACAAAGACAATAATCCTTTACCAGTTCATGATGCTTGTGTACGACTCGCCATCACATTTTATTCAAAAAGCACATTTAGGTAAAAAGTTTGTAATCGTTCGGAGGGTTGCTGTATGTTGTACACACGCTGGTATTGGCTGCTGAGTCCTATGAACAAAGTCATTTGTAACCTCTGCTAAAAATATCTCTGAAATCCCTCACATTGCCCAGATTAAGTCATCACAGATAAGAGGAAACGGGTAACTTCAAGAGGAAGCATTTTAAACACTGTGAAGAGACAAGTCTTACTTTGGGCTGTGTCCAAGTAACAGTCGGAGAGAAGCCAGATCTCCCTTGGCAGCTGCATAATGAACAGGTAGGGCTCCTGTGTCGGTGGCGGCCCCGGGGTCCACCTCACCGCTCTTCAGCAGCCATTCGGTGATTTCGTGGTGACTGAAGCGACACGCAAGGTGGAGAACCGTGGCTCCAGAGCTGTCCTTGTGCTGCAAATCCAAACAGATGGAGAAACTGAGAAAGCCATGCACTCACACCGTCTTCTCTTCTTTTTAAATTCAGAACATAGTCTGTTTGTGGAAGCCTGTAACGTCAAGCTGATCAGGGCACATTTGTTAGAAAGACTGAAACCAGCTGCCTGTGTAATTAAGAGAAACAAGATATAAAAAAGGAGCCAATATCTGAGTTGCTTTGCAGAAATGATTCAGCTTCTGTCCTGTTCCAATTACAATTCTTCCTGGTCTTGGATGTCCCACTGCATGATGAACTTATAGACAACAGGAGTGACATCAGGATCAGAGCTCCTCTGGCTGCAGGATGATATTCAAATCCTGCAGAATCAAAGCATCCAAACCCAGTACAGGCCAGTGGAAAAATAAATACGTCAAAAAGGAAAACTGGAGCCAAAATATTGTAAGAGCAATTAGTGACCGGAGGTCATTATTAAAGGATAGTACTAGACAGTCATACATACAAAATGTCAGAAAATATATCTTTATGAAAGCTGAGTAATAATGAATAAAACATAAGCAATCGGGATAAACTTACAGTGTTACTCAGTTTCAAATTAAGCTGCATATTTCCAAGTAATTTCAAATTTTTCAGACAAATTTTCAATGCAATGTTTCCTACAAGACGCTTAGAAAGAACAAATGATCATGTGAACTCATTGCACCCCAAGACTAAATGTTGACTCTTAACTTTTAGCTATTTCTATGTTACACGGGACCTCTTATTTATTTCAGAACAGTGCAAAGCAGTGCAGAGTTTGCTCATATTGCTGGCGTCACAATATTTATTAAGACTCCTTGGAAACTCAAGCTGGAGCTCTTTATTGACCGGGATTAATTTGCATGTACTGGAAGCGCATACTGTAACTGAGTCAGCTTGGGGTTTAATTCATCATGTGAGGGTTTAACCACTGCAGCTCCAAACACCCTTCCACAGTTTACTAACTGAGCCAAAATTATGTTTTTGTGACCCTCATAATTCACCTTCAGTGTTGTAAAAGGGGTATTAAAAATGCAAATCAGGCTTTGCATATCTCATTGCCATGGTGACATCTGACTGTGTAACAAGGCAAGTTTCGATTAAAAAAAAAAGATGGTCCTATTTTAATGTGATTCTAGTCCCTGAATGTTTACAGTCAGTGCCATCTGAAAGTATTCAAACCCCAACATTACTTCACATGTCGCTATAAAACAGACTACAACTGAGCTGAACATACAGTAGCTTTCAAACAGAGTTGGTTGAATGAACGATTTGAAAAAGATCACAGCCGTCTAACTTCCAACAGCTCACCCTGCACATCAGAACAGAAACCAATCAATGAAGTTGAAGTAATTGTTTGCAGATCTACCAGATCAGATCTGCCTGCACAATCCTTTTGGGCAAGAAATCAAGAGGATTGTGCAGCAATAAATGCTTTGAAAAGCACTGTGGTTGTCTCCTTTACTCACAAACTTTTAAAAAAACCTAAATTGGAGCCACCATTATTCTCTTGAGATCTGCCAGCTAAACAAAGTGGGGGAAGAGAGATGATTGAGGACCATATGATCACTAATGTGAAGCTCTGTTGATGCCTTATGGCAATCAGAGAACAATAGCTAAACCATTGCTAACGGACTCCACCAATCAGTCCTTTATGGCCAGATGGAAGCCAAAAAGATACATTTTAAGCCATTTGATTTTGTCCTTCAAACATTGTCAGACAATGAACAACCAAGTTTTCTGGTCCAATGGGACCAAAATAAAACTTTTTTAAAAAGTTCATATATATATCATATTAAATCTAGTGTCTTAGGCTGTTTGTGTGACCTTCAAACGTCAGTGTGGCAAAGTAAACATCTTGTAAGATGATAGTACTCCACCAGTTACTGCATAATTCATCAGTGTTTATTTACATTTTGCAAGAACAAAGGAAACAAGCATTGATGAAGTAATCTTTTATATCCAACAAACAACTGGTCGTTCAGAAGATCTCTCAACAATTGCTCAGTTTCAGAATGTTGGGGTTTGCATGTATAAGTAGTTTTTGTAGCAATAAACAGAAAATCTCATGCAAGCTACAAACCAGCACCAAGCACTCTAACACTTGAAACCAATGTCCTCAATCCACGGTTGTCAAACTGTGGTGCAAGGATCACTAGTGGTACTTGAACTGTCTCTAGTGGTAATCATTATGGCATCAATTATTTTGAAAGATACATTTGTTGTGATGTATGAACAATAAGCTTCAATGGCCATAAAGATGAATTGCTCATGCTTGATTAGACATGTCTCAAAATCTGTGTACTGGGAAAAAAAATTCTCTGAATTCCCAGAATGAACTGAAGTGGACTGCAATGAACCAGGAGCAATCGCTGGCTGATTTTTATGCTGTGGTCTATTTACTATTGAAACTGGAATTTGGGTGTGGGATCAAACCAATTTAAGTGACTTCTAGTTCAAGTTAGAAAGTCAAAGGGGTTTGTTAATATAATAATTACTTGCAGCAATTCAAGCTGATCACAGTTTATTTCTCCATAGCTGTACTTTCATACTCTGGTTACACGTTTGCTTAAGGATATCAAATAGTGTGCAAAAGTTTAATGGTATGCAAATGATCAAAATTGCAAATAAACTGATTTTACCGCTGCAATCACCAAGTCTTCCATGGAGGGTCAACACATATTAGATTGGGAGGTCAGTTCTGATATTCCCACTTGGAATCTGACATTTAACGGTTTTGAAATTACAAAAATGTGGAAATGTTTTCTTCAGAGTAAAATCTGTAACCACATTGTTCAACCAACCATGCGAAGCCAACAGACTTCTTGGTCATAGAGGCCACTTATTGCAAAAAGTTTGAAAACAACAACAGTGAAACTGGATTGTAGAGCAACGCAGCTCTGGCTAGATCCGCTACTCTGACCTGTTCCAGAAACATAATGTAGTCTTTTTGTGACTAGAGTGTTGACCATCTCCCATAGAGTTAACGCCAGGTCAGAATAAACAGAACTGAGGTGTCTGGTTCAAGTTACTCACCTCCGGCCGACACCCCCCCTGCGTCAGCAGCCACTGTAAGCAGGCCAGGTTGCCCGTGGCTGCCGCGTCATGGGCCGGACTGGCCCCGTTGTTTGCCAGGCAGTTACCCTGCAGCCCTGCCTCCTCCACCAGAAAGCGCAGGCAGGTCAGCTTCCCGGCCCGGGCTGCGTGGTGGACCGGCGAAGCCCCCAGAACATCCTTGACGTCGCTGCCGAGCACCTTCGCTGCCAACAGCGTTTTGAGGGTCTGCACGTCTCCCTGCCTGGCCGCTACCAGAGACCTGTCGCCCTCCGCCACCATGGCTGCAGCCGGCTGCGGGTGAGGCGGCTCCGTAACCTCGGTTGCCTGTTGTGACCCCCCCTGCCTCCTTCTCCTCCTCCTCCCTGACTCGGCTCACCGGGCGCACAGGGCCAGCAGCGCTGCGTCCGGAAAGCCTCTGCACAGGCCAGCCACCGGGTGAACTCTGTGGACGAGCTCGGTTATTGCTCCATGGGTCGACAAACGGCGGAATCCGTCCGAGAAGCAAACACAAATCATCTTCTTCACACGCTGGGCTGAAAATACCGCATCCTCCGCTGGTTGAACCAACTTCATCCGCTTCAGCTCTGACAAGCAGGACTCCCCTGAACACCTGTTGCACAAGATCTCCTGAGTCCTATAAACAATTTATAATTAGCGTGTTTACTTTTTCTACCTAGTTAATGTCTCCTATCATGTGCCTTGAAGAGTCCTGTTGTGTTTTTTTCCCTCTCTCTCTCCTTCGAGCAGATGGCGACGCGGGACGGAGCGCCTGATAAATAATCCAGCAGAGGGAGGACCGCTGAGCCTGGAACAAGTTGCTGCTCGCTGAAAATCGGCTCACAAAATTAAAGGAGCAGCACGGAAAAGACGCTGGAAGTTCAGTAATCCCCGGAGGAAATGATGGACCAATGGGATGCGTGTTTTTCAAAGCATCCAGTGTCAAAAGCTCCACCTGCGTAAATGTTGCGTTAAAATGTTGAACACGCGTGATTTCCACATTGAAGATGTCCACCTGGTGGCTTTCTGTGGAACTGGTTTGAAGAAGGGTATTGATATAGTTTAAATTTTTTTTAAAATAAATAACATCCATTAATAGCAGTCAACTCCCTGAAAGTATAAAAAAGTTACCTGGACTTATTTTGGCTGAACAGCAGTGCTTCCGACTTTCTGATCCAGATCACCACTTCATTTTGATTGATGTCATATTTAAAAATAAATAGTTTAACTAAATTCAGTTTTCTTTACTTGTACTTTTCCACCCAAGACTCTCAGATTGCAACTTTATTATTCTCCTGACCCTGCAAGATATTATCATCATCTACTCCATGACTCTTATTGATATGCACTATAGCTACTGATTTGAGCTGAGAAATGTAAAATTTATATTAACAGTATTTAACTTGCATATAAGTGTTATTTCATTGTTTTCATTTAGTGAGTGTTTGTGTAAGGCGACAAAAGTTAAATCATTATTTCACCTTTACCAAATTATTTCACCATTTGAATTCTGTTTATTAGCGACTGCCAAACCAGGTCGCCGAGCGGCTGAATAGGGGAATCTTTGTTGACGCGCCAGCTGATCAAAAAAGCAATCCAAGTTGCATTTAAGTTGATTTATTTTGCCAATATCCAAAGCATCACAGTGTCCACACAGCATAAAAACGGATCCTTACTAAAAACAGTGAATAAAGACAAAATGTGCTAAATGGATGCGGTCAGCAAAAAGTGAACCTTCCCCCATCACCCACTCACTAAGATCACCCAGGTGAGCAACAGCTGATCTATAATCACTGACATCACGTGATCCCCACTACGCCTGTCCACAACATTCCAGCCCCTAATTATTACATCATTACACAGTAATAATTACTCATTCAACACCATTACCTAAGATATACACGACATCAAAACTCACATTGAGACATTACATTCAAATAGTCCATGAAAGTCATTTTCAATAGTCAAAACAGTCTTTTTCCCTTTTTTTTTTTTTTTACAAAATAGTCCATCCATAGTCAATCGGTCAGTCATAGGCCAGAGGTTACCAGCACTTAGCCTAAATATAGTCAGTCTGCGATGTACATCTAGTTGTGGTAAAGTCAAGTCAAAAGGTCATGTCAAGAGGTCGGTCGAATGCATCGTCTTCATTGGTCGGAAGTCTCCTGAAGAAGGCATATCTTTGTGATGGGTCTGCATAAGTGGCTGGTTGGAGTCTTAATCCAGACCTGACGTACAAGTCCATTTTTGTCTGGCACAGTTTTTGTGATTCTGCCGATGATCCAGGAACCACGAGGTGCAGAGTCATCCATTATAAGAACCACATCTCCAGCAACAAAGTTGCGTCTAATCTTCATCCACTTTTGGCGCTGTTGAAGTTGAGGCAGATATTCTTTAATCCATCTTTTCCAGAACAGATCAGATATGTATTGGACCTGTCTCCATCGTTTCCTTGCATAAACATCCTCTTTCTGGAATAAACCTGGTGGAAAACTTGGGTTAGACTTGAGTAGGAGAAGATGGTTCGGTGTTAGAGCTTCCAGATCATTTGGATCGGTGGATTCCAATGTAATAGGTCTACTATTGAGGATTGACTCCACTTCACAAAGAACAGTTTGCAGACCTTCCTCGTCCAAATGCTGTATTTGCAAAGTGGAAGTAAGAACCTTTCTGATGGAACGAATCAATCTCTCCCATGCTCCACCATGGTGCGACCCAGTTGGAGGATTGAAGATCCATTTCACTCCCTTCAGTGACAACATATCAGAGATCTTTTCCTGATTCCAATTTTCAATAGCTCGTCTCAGTTCTCGCTCTGCAGCCACAAGGTTGGTACCATTATCGGACCGCAGTTCTTGTACTTGGCCTCTCCTTGCAATGAAACGTCGTAAGGCGTTAATAAAAGAGTCTGTGTCGAGAGATGAAGCAACCTCGATGTGTACTGCTCTTATCGCCAAACATGTGAAGATAACTCCATATTTCTTCACAAGACTTCTTCCACGCTTCACTTCAAATGGACCAAAATAATCTACTCCAACAAAACTAAAGGGGGGTTTCTCAGGGGTCACTCTGCTTTCAGGCAGGTCAGCCATTTGTTGCTGGCCTGCAGCTCCACAAAGCCGTCTGCAGATCACACACCTTGACATGATCTTTCTAATCAATGTACCAGCACCAGGAATCCAATATTTCTGATGAAGCTTTGAGAGCATGAAGTTCCTACCTCCATGACCCACCTCTTTATGAATATATTGGAGAATAAGATAAGCAATGTGAAGATCTTTAGCTACAATGATAGGATGTTTAGAATCTTCAGACATGGCAGCCTTACTGAGACGTCCTCCAACACGCAGCACATCATCCACAGCACAGGATTTAACTTATATATGTGACTGCTTCGTTTAACATTCTCTCCCTTTTGGAGACAGGAGATCTCTTCAGAATATTTTTCCTTCTGGCAGAACTTGATTATCTGCATCTCAGCATCCTCAATCTCTCCCAATGAAAGAAAGCCAGTATGTAGCTCAACCCTATGATGAGCAGCTTCAGACTGGGTTGTTTCAGATGCAGATGGAAAATATGTCTTTTCTCTTTTGTGATGCAAAAGCAATGTTTTAAATCTCAAAATCCAACCCATCACTCTGACAAGACGAGTCCACGATGAAGCACGACGAATCAAAAAGGTCAGAGGATGATCGTCATCTTGTCTGGGGAACACACCGACAGAAGCAGATACTTTAACTTCAGGGTCTTCATGTGGAAGTTCCTGTAAGTTCTCTGGGTTTACAGGCCAATCTGTCTCTGGCTGTGTAAGAAATGCAGGACCAGATAACCATGTAGTGTCATGTAGAAAAGGCTCTACCTTCATGCCCCTGGAAGCAATGTCTGCAGGATTATTTTTTGTCCACATATCTCCATTGGGAGACAGCAGAAACACTATTCATGGTGACAGTTGACAGACATCTTGTTCTTTCCCAACATTCTCGTTCAATTGGACCATTCACTGTCCAGCCGAGCACAGTTTTAATGGCAAAAGGTCCATTACCTTTGCTCCCGATGACCTCCAATGGTTCTAGAGCTCTGGGCATGTTCATGCCAATCAAAAGCTCCACCTGTGCTTTGATCTCAGGCAAATGAACACACTTCAGATGTGGCCAATTAGCCAGATCTTGTTGCTTTGGAATATTACTCAGATCTACAGGCATTTTGTGCTGAGTAAAGAGGTCAGGCATGTCATAATACATGTCACTGTCCAATCCAGCAATTTCAAGTTCAGGTACAATGAAACTGTCCACAACTTTCTCTTGTCCCATGGTGCGCAAGAGAATCTTTGTTTTTCTCCCAATGAGATTCAGCTTATTCAAAAGACCCACTGTACAAAAGGATGCTGAACTCCCTTGGTCCAAAAAGGCATACGTTTCCAGTATCCGTTGACCTTTCTTTGATTTCACCTTGACTGGTACAATAGCAAGCTTGCAGTCCTGTCCACCAGCCCCAGTAAGACCACTCGTCTGAACTGTGTCAGGAGATTTCGCTCCTTCAGCAACGAGTTGAACTTCATTCTTATTGTTATTGTGAATATGGAGTATGCTTGCATGTCTGAAACCACAGATTTTACATGAAAGGCGTTTTCTACATTCTTTACTGATGTGCCCTGTACACAGGCAACCAAAACAAACGCCATTTCTCTTAAGAAATAAAATCTTCTCATTATGAGGTTTCCTTTCAAAAAGAGAGCATAACTCCAGTTTGTGTCCACCTTTGCAAAACAAACAAATCTTCACATCAGTGTGATGGTCTTGAGCCTCTGATGGATTATTTCTCTCAACAGCAGAGGTAGTGATGCCAAAACTACTTCCTGAAGTTCTTGGACGAGAAAAACGTTTCCCTCCATCTGTGCTCTTAGCTGATGAATTTATTAATGGAGCATCACTTAACTTTCCAAAGACAGGATCTGTAGTAATTTTGACTTGACGCTCAATAAAGCAAACAATGTCAAAAAATGTTGCTCTTTGATGCTGCTTCTCCTGAATGTCACATGCTACTGTTCGCCATTTATCTTTCAATTTATATGGCAATCTTTTAATCACAGCAAGCATATTAGCAGGTGTATTTAATTCAGAAAGATAATGAAGATCCTCCATTGCATTACAACACTCATGTAAGAACAAACAGTATGCCTGAAGAGATTTTCCATCTTCTGATTTAATCAATGGCCACGAATGAACTTTATTCAGGTAAGCAGATGCAATAACATATCCATCTCCAAAATGCTCATATAGCATAGTCTTTGCCTTTACATATCCACCACCATCAGACATATGTTGACATCTTTTGACAAGTTCATTGGGCTGCCCCCTGGTGTACTGTGCGATGTAATGCAGGCAATCATCAGGATCATCAGTCTTTGATTCAATGACCTGTTCAAATGAGCGCATAAAGGCCTGAAAATGAAGTGGATCGCCATCAAAGGGTTGAATTTCTCTTTTGGGTAGCGAAGACAGACTTTGTTGACGAACCAACATGCAAGTTAATTCATTTTGTTTCTCCATAATGGATAACAGATTTTCATTGGTTGCTGATTGGGCAACTTGCTGCAGCGGCATATTTGATAATGTTCCGCTTAAAGGACGAGTAGGTCCAAAACAAGAAGGTGCAAACCTTTTCTTTGTCACATTTTGTTGCACTGTTTTTATTTGAAACTCTGCATTTTCATTAACTGCATTTCTCTGTCTGTGGAACAAACATTTTAGCATTAAGAGTTTCAACAGCATTTTCTTTTGTTTTAAAATAGGATTCCATACCATTAGATTTCTGTGAAGCTGAGCTTTGCACTGCAGATCCAGTTTTCAACACATTTACTTTTGCAGCAGTTGCAGCTATTTCTGCTTCAAGTTGAAGCTGTTCTTTCCTTTTCCTAAGTTGCTCCTCTTGTTCTTCAATAGCATGTTTTACTTT